CTCCTGCTCTTCTGGCCTGCTTCTTTGGGCATCCCTGAGTTTCCCCTCCTCACCTAATCCCTTTGGCTGATTACTCTTCTCTTTGGCTTCCTGGGTTTTACCCCTTTCTCTTGCTCTTCCGGCCTGCTACTCTGTGCTACGCCCATGCTTACCTTGCTCCCGGAGTAGTAGGATGGCTAAAGTCTCCAGCAACAGAACGGAGGAACATGAGGGCTCTACTTCCTTCTCCCTCTCCCTGTTCCTGTTTCTTAGCTTTGCTCACCATCACCTCTCACCTGTACCTCTGCAGGAGACATATTACCTGTCTTCCTTCCTGAGCTCACCCACTCCGTTTAGTCCCTACTCTACATTGTAGCCAGGGGTCTTTCTATGGGCCAGTTCTGACATTTTAAAAATAAATACATATAATTCATCTTATTTTTGTTGTTATTGAGGACATACACAGCAGAGCACACACCAATTCAACAATTGCCACATGTACAATTCAACATCATTGATCACATTCTTCAAGTTATGCAACCATTCTCCCCCTCCTTTCTTGAATTGTTTCTCCCCATTAACATAAACTCACTGCCCCCTAAGGTTTCTGTCTAATCTTTCAATTCCTGTTGTCAGTTTAACACAATAGAGAAAAATCTTGAAAGAGCACAGAGCTCAAGCCAGACTTTATCAGTTATGCTAAATTACTGTTTTGTCTCAAGAAGGCGTCTAAGGATATTTTTGCTTTAAAGTTTAAAGATTATCTCAAGGCAATAGTTTCATGGGTTCACCCAGTCTCCATGGCTCCAGAAAATCTGGATTCCATGAGAATTTGAAATTCTGTTCTGCATTTTCTCCCTTATGGTCAGGATGCTTTTATAGAATCTTCTATCATAATGCTAAGTATTGGTAGCCAGGCACCATCCAGTTCTGGTCTCATGACAATCAGTTCTGACTTTTATGAGCATTTGTTTGATCTTCTGAAGGAGAGGATCAATGGGTATAATTTCTTAAATTCCCTAACCAACCTACTGACACATAAGATCTTGTCTTCTTGTTTCTCGCCTCTGCCCCAAGGATTCTGCGCCTGCTTGTCCAGAGGGGCCTGGATATATAGAGACTGCAAGGACTTTGCCCTATAACTTTCTCATGGTTGTCACCAGAAGCCACTTTGCTGATGGCTGAGCCTGGACACTGGCCCCAGGAACAGAGAGTGTCCTATAGGCTAGGCCCCAGGTTGCCAGTCCCCACCCAGAGGAACACAGAGTCCAGTTGTTGGGTTCTTGGAAAAGCCACATCAGAGGGTTTAATGAGTGACCTACAGGGCTGTTTTCTGGCCCTGATGGTGCTAACAGCTCAGAGGTCAGGCAGTGCTAGGGGGCTGGGCAGCTGGATGGGGCTCTGGCCAATGACAGCAGGCCGCTGGAGGACAGAAGTGGAAAACAGCCCTCCCTGAGCTGGCTCAAGCTGCAGCTCTCTGAGAGGGGCTGCCTCCACTCAGTGGCCATCTCTGTAGGTGTGGTCAGGGAAGAGGGGGTGAGCCTGGAACTGGGAGCCAGAGCCTGGGTTCAAGGCCTGGTTCTGCCGCTGGCTTGCTGCATGACCTTAAGTAAGTCATTCCTCTTCAGGCCTCCATTTTGTGACACCTCAAATGGGAGGAAGAGGAGGAGGTGGGAGAGGAAGGGGACCAGACTGAACAGATGCTCCCTTTGTAGCTTCTCAGATCCCCAATTGCTCTTCCTCCAGCTCCCGGCCCTTTCTCTCCTCCCTCATCTTCCTTCCTTGGCAGGGGAGCCTCATGGTCAGAGCCCTGGGCTCTGCAGTCAGATGAACCTGGGTTAAGTCTTTCTTTTCACATCTAAGCTATGTGACCTTGGACAAGTGACTCACCTCTGAGCCTCGATCTGTGAAATGGGGATATTGTTTCCTACCTCCGGAGTTCCTGGGAAGAGTAACCAAAGCTGGGTCCGTAACCCACTGAACTCACATGGTAGCTCAGCAAACGTGCAGGGCCTGATGGAGACCAAGGAGGGGCAAGCAGGTGAGCTCAGGGGTGAGAGGGGAAGCAGCACTGCCCTCTGCAAGTCTCGGCCTCTGCTGGGTCTTACCCCAGGGCTAACCTGTCTCCTCCTGGGCCGCAAACTCCCTGGCTCCATAAAAAAAGTTAACAGCCCAGGAAAGCAAATGGCTCCAGCTCTGACTCGTGGACACCAGGGTTGCACAAAGAGGGGGTCGTTCAGCTCAAGGAAAGCACTCGTGGGGGGGGGGCGTCTGGGTGAATGGGGGTTTGGAGGGCCTGGAAGCCCCTCTCCCACTTGTCTTCCTCCCCCCAGATCTCTCCTTCCCCAGCAGGAAATTGTACCTTTAGTAACTTCTTTGGGTTAAAGCAGGAGCTCTGGTGGTGTAGTGAGTAAGGCATTTGACTGCTAACCAGAAGGCTGGTAGTTCAAACCCACCAGCCACTCTGTGGAAGGAAGACTAGACCATCTACTTCTGTAAAGATTTACTGCCTTGGAAAGTCTATGGCAGTGTGTTTGGTTTTTTTTGGTTTTGGCTTAAAGCAGGGGTCAGCTTCTGTTGTCGTGAAGGCTACAAATCAAGAAGTTTTCACTTAGCAAAAAAAAACCAAACTCAGTGCTGCCGAGTCAACTTGACTTATAGCAACCCCTCCTTGGGTTTCCAAGGTGGTATCTCTAGGGAAGTAGATTGCCCAATTGTCCTTCCGAGGAGTGCCTAGTGGGTTTGACTGCGAGACTTCTGGTTAGCAGTCAAATGCCTTAGGGACTATGCCACCAGAGCTCCCTACGTTTGCAAATGGATGAAAAAATCAAAAGAATTCTATTTTGTGGCAGATGTGAATTAAATGATACTCCCATTTAAAGGTCATGAATAAAGTTTTATTGGAACACAGTTGCACCTGCTTGTTTATATGGCTGCTTTTGTGCTGCAGTGGATCCTAGTCGTGACAGAGACTGTGTGTTCTGCAAAGCCAAAAACACTTATTATCTGGCTCTTTACAAGAGAAAAAAAAAATGTTTGCCGACTCCTAGTTTTAAGGAAACCAACCAGTTTTGAAAGTGGAAGGACCCTAAGGAAGATTCAGTTGGGTTGACTAAGTCAGGAGTCCCAGCTCCAGCCATTACCGAGGCACCTGTCAGTCAGCTCCTGCCCCCTCCCTACGCCTTCCTTTCTCCAACAGACCCAGCACCTTCTTTCCTGTTTACCCCGAGCACTGCTGGAAGGGACCAGTTAGCCAGTCTGATTGGTATTCACCCTTTAATAGAAATAGCTCACGCAACCTGCTTTCCTCATCACTCAAAGGAGAGAACTGGATGCTATGGGGAAGATGATAGAGTCACACTGAATAAGGGGAGTGAGGATCAAGGTTTCCCCAAAATCCCATGCAGAAAGAGGCAGCTTCTTTCTCCCAGAAGCTGTGTCTGCAGGCAGCTAGCCACAGGGATGCCACTGGAGGAGGTAGGTATTGCAGCCAGCCCAGGAGTGCAGGGATGGGGTGTGGGGAGCAGCACTGCTGGGCTTCTGCTGAGAGCTCCACTCACCTGATCTCCCCCCAAGACTCAGACTCAGGCCAGTGTACTGGATACACACCAACACTTACATTTTGAACCTTGTCTCTCTCCAACTTGCTCAGTCAAAACCAAAGTTTCTACTGTGGGTAAGAGGCCCCTCACCATTTCCTCACCTTACCTTTCTGATGGTATATCCCCCGCTTCCTTCTCCTCATTCAGCTCCAGTTGCCTTGACCTCCTTGCCCAACCTCATCACCTAAGCTTACTTCTGACTGAAGGCCCTGATGCTGCTGTTCCCCTCTGCCCAGAAATCCCTTCCCCCAGATGCCTGCGCGGCTTTCTCCCTCACTGTCTTCAGGTCTCTGCTCAAATGTCATCTCAGTGAGGCCTCTCCTGGCCTATTTAAAACTATCATCTCACCCCACCTCTAACCCTTCCAACTTTTTCACCCTAGCTCAAGGCTGGATGGCACATAAATAGGACTCAATCAGTCTTTGGTGAGTGAATGAATGAGTGAATATAGATCACTCATTCAAAAACCATTAGTTTTTTTTTTTTTTTTTTTGCTATGTATTATGATATGTGCTTATTTTTCTCAAACCCCTGTGTGTGTGTGTGTGTGTGTGTGTGTGTGTGTGTATGAGAGAGAAAGAGAGACTTCTTCTCATATTCATATTTAAGGATGGGGAAATTGAGCCCAGAGAGGATGAGTGACTTGCCTGAGGCCACCTTACTCATAAGGAGTCTGGGGCTGCTGGACTCCTACTTTAGTGCTCTTGGGTGGTGGTCTCCACCCTAACCCAAAACCCACGTTACCAAAGCAAATAACTGGACCAAAAAAAAAGAGAAAAAATCAAGCTGGTTAAGAACAGTTGTTTTATATAATACACACACACCAGGTTTGGGATAACAATGCCAAATGTGTGCTAGGGAACAGTTTCTGCTGCCTCCCATAGGGTAAACCCCACCCCAAGTGCACTATGTCCCAGCCAACTTGGTGCTTGGGGCAGGCCTGGAGGGATGACCAGACCTGCAGACTTCACCTTTCAGCTCTGCGGGCAGGCTCTGCCACCAGAAAGGCAGCCTTTGACACCTGTCTAGCCTGGCACTGGGGGTGGCCACAGGGCAGGCAGCAGCGGGATGGGGTGTCTTGGGTCCTTGCAGTCCTACGGTCAAGGCTGTGCACTGGGCAATGTTTGCTGAAGGTCTTGTTGACGCACGGGAGCGGGGAAAGATGACGTTGCCACTTACCACAGCAGTGTGGTGTGGACAAGGGACGCCCTGCCCCCTCTGTAGCTAGGTCCAGGAGGTGGGGCTGGGTTGGCTCCTTTCCCCATCGCCAGGAGTCGCTGGCCCAGGAACTGCTGCAAATGACCCCTTCTTCCTCAGTAGGGGTAAGGGGACACAGCGATAAGCAAGATGAAGACGTTTTGGTGGCGCGGCGCGGCGGCACGCACCGTGAGCCGGTAGAGGCCGGCGCGGGTGAGCGCACGGCGAGTATAGACTGCGCCGTAGCCAGCGCGCAGAGGGCGCAGCGCGAATGGGCTGCCCGGGTCGGGCTCCAGCACGCTGAGTTCGGTGCGGTTGGCTGGGACTCCAGCCTCGGAGAAGGCGGTGAGGCGAGCCACGTCGTGGTGGGCGCGCACGCCCAGGGGCAGCGGCAACAGCCTGTACTGCAGCGTCGAGGGACCACCAGCGCTGCAGTCCTGAGAGCAGCGCCGGAAGCAGGTCCTGCGGACGCGAACAGACCACTGCCCATCAGAACGAGGCCTGGCAGCATCAATTGGTCATTAAACTCTAGTACTATGCCCCAGCCTCCCCACCAGCTCTCCCTGTGCTCTGCTGGTACCCCTGCGCCGCAAATGCCTTCACAAGTGCTACTGCTAACCCAGTTTAGAGTTCAACAGATTGAGTCCCAGAGAAGCCAGAGACACTGCCTTTTCTGACGGAACAGTTGTCCCCAGAGACATTCCCAGCCCATGCTCCAGGGCAGCCCTGCTGGCACAGGGCAGGGATAAACCGTGGAATACTCCAGGAGGGGCGGGCATGGCTGAGTCACGGCTCTGGATAGACCGGGGGTGGTAAAGGCTTTTCCCAAAGCCCCGTGCTCAGGTTTACTGCTCCAGTCCCTACCAGGGCTTTGATTTTTTAAGACCCAGGGCAAGCCCTAGTCCCAGCACACCTTCCCTAACCACCGTGGCACTGTTTACAAAGGTCCCCAGGTCTCTGTGCGTCTTTATGAGTATCTGTAGCCACAATGTGTGGTGTGGAGGAGGTATGTTTTGTGTTTGTGTGTGTGTCTGTGTGCATCTCCATGTCCCACAGTAAAGGGTATGTCTGTAGGTTGCTGTTTGCCCCCATGTGTCTCTGGGTGCACTCTTCTCCCGGTGGTCCATTCTCTCCCAACTCTAGCCTTGCCCAGCCCCTGGTGCTCCAGAAGAGCTGGCACCCCGGGTGGCTGCAGGAGGGCACACTGCCCGGCCTATAGGCATACAGACCCTGATGAAGAATGAAGTACTTATGGGACTACTTCCCCCCACCCCGCCCTTTCCGCCTGCTCCCCTACACACACAGCCCCCACCTAGAAGCCAGGGGCCTAAGATCTGCGACCAAGTGTGACTGACGGCCTTCCTGGAGGTGGGGTCTGGCTGCACCGGAGCCAGAGTGGAAGAACCCCCTCCCCTGCTGACTCAGCTCTTACCCCGGGCTGGAGCCCTGTCGGTAGGTGGCGGGACATGGCGTGTCCACACACTGGTAGCTGCCCCGGGTGTTGAAGCACATCTGGCTGGGCCCACACTCAATGCCATCCTCCTCGCACTCATTGATGTCTGGGTCGGGGGGACATTAGCCAAAGGAAGGCGGAGGGATGAAAGAGGGATCAAAGGAGAAGAGCCAAAGGCAGGAACCAGAGAAAGTGGGGATCAGTGAGAGAGAAATACCTTCCAAGGCCCAGAGGCAGGAGTCCCTGCTCACCTTGTTCCCAGCTAGCCTGACCTACGGCATCCCAGCCTAGAGGCCCCTCCAAATCTCCCCAGGGGCACGCTGAGCACCCTGGGGTCTCCTGAAGCCCAGCGCTGGAGTGTAGAGCTCAGGAGGGAGGAGGGCTGCCATGGAGGCCAATTTTGTCATTGTATCCAGAGTGTCCACTACCCAGGGGCAGAGTGGCCCCCAATCCTCATCCGTCCCAATGGGAGGCCCACCCTTCTCAGAGGATGCTCACCGACCCCCATGACAGACATCGATGGATGGAGACAAGCCATTTACCAGATGGGGAAGCAGCCCTGGAGCACATCAGAGGTAGAGCTGGGTGCAGAGGAAAGTGCTCCCAACTTGGCAGTTAACAAACAAACAAACAAAAACCCAAACCTGGTAGAATAGATTCCAACTACCAGCAGTCACCTTGTGGCAATTGTTGGCTCTGTGCCTAGTCTGTACATGTCTTATTTTAGCCACTTGGAGAAGGGGAGGGGACTATTTCACACAGGAGGCTGAGGCACAGAAAGATGGACTGAGTTGCCCAAAGACACAAAATGGAGCTGGGATGTAATCCCAGGTTACAGAACCCATCCACTTATTCTCTTAAGGCTTTTATTTCAAGTGTGGGGCCCAGCTGAGCTCCCACATGGCTGTGTGGGCTTAAGGTGTGGTGTCTTGATCCCTCTCAGCCCGTCTCCCAGCCCCATCTCACAGAGGATGGATGTGAAGTACCTGGAGAACTACAAAGGGCTGGAAGAACAGAGTGGGTGAGATCCCAGCATGCCCCTTTGCCCTGCCTTGTCCCCTCTGGCAGCGGGGATGGCGGCCCCACCCTGGGCACCCACTCACCCTGGCAGTTTTTTCCTCTGGGGAGGAGGCGGTAGCCCGCAGGGCAGAGGCATTGGTAGCTGCCCTTGGTGTTCCGGCAGGCGTGCTGGCACAAGTTCCTCACCTGGCACTCGTCAAGGTCTGGCCCAGGCATGGCCATGGAGGGGGGGGCATGGCAGGGGGCAAAGACACTGAGTCACACACGCCCATGTGGACACATGCCTGCCCATCAGACTCTAGGGCAGCCAGGGAAGTTTCCGTCCTTGGGGAGCCCACACCTTCTCCCCACCCTGCTCGACCCAATGCCCATCCTGGCTTTGGGGATTAGGAGAGTCCCTGGGCTTGACAAGAGTCAGGAGCTCTGCTCCTCTCCATGTTCACCAAGGTACCAGGTCTCCGACTCCAGACTCCTCTGTCCAGGCGGAAATGCTGGAGTGTGTCTGTCCTCATCAGGCTACCCTCCTCTCCCCTCTCTGCAGCCCAGGGGCCCTGTCCCTGTCCCTGACTCCACACTCACTAGTCGCTGTTTATTCTCTTGTCTACCTGGAGCATCCTCCTTCACTATGGGAAATCTCCCTCCCTGATGGCTTCACCTCTGAGCACCAAGAGCAGCGTTCCTCAAAGTGGATTCCTAGGAACTATTGCCCAGGAGACCTTCCCTCTGGAAAAACCGCTGAAGTCAAAATGGTTTGGAAAATATCCCATCCCCTCTTTTGGAAGTCATTTGCCTGCTAGCACAACCAAGGCTCTCAGATGCCCTGTAGCGAGGAAGTAGCTTCAACTTTGCCTGGCCCCACCTTTCCCAAACTCCTTGGCCATGGAACCCCCCCTTTTCACCAGACATCTACTGAAACCCCTAGAAAAAGTGCATTTCTTGAGAAGCATCAAATAGATAACCATCTGCCTGTACCGCTGCCCAACCTGCTGTGGGGACTGGGTTTCTGAACATGGTGGCTGGTGCTCATGCAGTCTAGAAGCTCAGGATGGTTGGGCCCGCCCTTACCTGTGCAGATACCATTCTGCCTAATGAAGCCAGGGGGGCACCAGGCCCGGCCCATGCTGCTCAAGGTTACAGGACCCGGCCGAAGGGAGACCCAGCCGTGGTAGGAGCCACCAGGGATGGGCGCACGTGGCCGCAGCCAGGATGCAGAAGGGCCCTGGTGGCTGATGGTGGTCACGTTCTGTCCACTCCGAATCAGCAGGGTGCAGGTCTTGCCATCACGGAGGAGGGTCTGGCCTGGTGGGCACAGGCAGCGGTAGCTGCCCTGGAGGTTGTGGCACTGGAAGGTGCAGGCCCGGGGCAGCTGCAGACACTCATTGATATCTGGAAAGGGGCAGGGCCAGTAGGACTGCTGAGGAAGGGTCAGGGTTTGTCACACAATTGGCTCTAGCTGGTTCTCTTGATCACGCCCCCTAGAACCCAGCTGCCTCACATGATACGCCAGGCCTTCCTCCAAGCCTTCCCCTCCTGGACCAAACCAGCTTCTTCTCCAACTCCATCATCCTCTATGGTTCAGAGGCCCAAATCTCCCCTAGCTCAGAGCAGTATCCTGCCTTCAATTCCCCTCATATCCTTTCAGCATCCTGGTTAGGTCAATTCTACCTTGTAAACCTCTCTGAGGTCCACCCACTTCTCCCTACTGTTTTCTTCCTCCTGAGCAAATGGAGAAGTTGATCTCAGTGGCTGGGCTGAGGTTCCAGTGGGATGAAACAGGTGAAGCTCAGGCCCAGGCTATGGTTTTGGTCATTTGCAGGACTCAGTGCCAACATCATACCCACCAATGGCCTGTGAGCCAGCAGTGCTGACCAGGGCCCCAGTGAGGGGCTGGGTGTATCCATACCTAGGCAGGGCAGGCGTGGGCCCTGGCTCCGGTACCCCCTGGGGCAGCTGCAGCGGTGCCCGCCTGGAGTGTTCTCACAGATCTGGTTGTAGTGACACTCATCCAGCTGCTCCAGACACTCATCCACATCTGGGGAGGCAGGAATGGGTCAGGGGTAGGATCTGAGCTCAGAGCCCCTCCTCAAGGGACAGACTATCCCCCTCCACATCTGGACCTCATTCTCTGTCCCCTTCTCCAGCATTAGTGACACAAGGCTGAAAGCCAACCCTTCCAACCACCCTCCCAATTATACTAAGTTTGGAAGTTAAAAGGGCTCTGGGTCCCCAAGTAAGGAAGGGGCTTTGGAGGTGGAGAGTCCCATGTTCAAGCTGAGCTGAGATCTGCCATTCCTAGTCCTTGGGCAGGTAACTTCTCTCCGAGCATTACTTCCCCCATCTGTAAGCAGTATAAGGATGGGGCCACTTTAAAGGGTTGTGGTGAGAAGTGAACTGGATGACACAAGTAAAGGGCTTAGGATCCTGGTATGTGGAAAGAGCTCAAAAAATGGTAGGAAGAAGGAAGGGAGGGAAGGAGGGTGGGAGGCAGGCAGGCAGCAGGCAGAAGAGCCCTATAAAGAGTCAAGACAATCCAAGGGCTCTGAGGCCCACTGAGACTGAATGGGTGCATCTTCTGAGTTCAAGTTCACCTACCATGATTTCCCACTCCACTGGATGGCCTCTTTTGGAGGAGCCAGGGGGACTCAGAATCGTGAAACAAAACAATGCTAGAGTAGAAAGGACCCTATTCAGGGGTGGCATCCAAGGTTCATTCAAATGCCAACTGCAATTGATTAGTAGTGGCTGCTGGGGGAGCTGTGATAAGGATTTAGAGCCTATGTCTCTAAATGGGTCATGACCCTGAGGGGAGACAGAGGATGTGGCAGCACACGCATCATGTGGTCGCCATCCTCGGCCCAGTCTCCCTGTCACTGACCAGATGAGAAACCTAAGGCTCAGAAAGTAAGACACCTGTGATAGGATCCCCAAGTTGCCAGTAGTCAAGGTGTGGGCCTCCCAAGCCCCAGCTCAGGATATCTCTATATGGCCTCACTGTTGAGTTCCTTCTGCCAAGAGAAGTTCAGCTCTCCCTGAAAGCCCAGGCTCCCAGTGACACACAGTTCCCCTTCAGCTAAACTCTAGCAACTGCTAGAGTATGGATAGGCCCCAAGATGTGCCCCATCACCTTCACAGCCAGCCCCATCAGCAGCCACCCGGAAGCCAGGCCCACAGTGAGGGAGGCAGTGGTAGGACCCGAGCAGGTTCACACAGCGCTGACCCTCCTGACAGAGGTGGGCATGCCATGCACACTCATCCACATCTGGGAGTGGGGGAGGAGCAGACAGTTACATGAACACATGATCTCCAAACCCTCCTTGCCACCTCCATTCTGGCCCAGCTTACCCACACTGGCTCCATCCCCCAGGCCCACAAGTCCCTGGGTGGTCCTCACCCCTCACCCAGCTCTTTCCATCACCTCCCCTTCTGTCTGAAACCAGAGCCCAGCCCAAGGGCTTCGGCCTGTGGCTTCTGAGATGAGGATGCAGACAATCTTCCTATGGGTGCCCCACTCAAAGCTCATGGAAACTTGGCCAGGCTCTACAAATGTGAGTGGTGAGATGCAAATTGGGCCTCAGAATCGAGACAGATCAGATTTGCCATTTGGCAGCTTTACTAAGGGGTCAAGTAGAGCAAGCTGAGCAAACGGCTGTCAGCTCACTTGCCAGTACCCACTAACTGGAGATGGGCACCAGGTGTTGAGAAAGCATCTAAGGCCATGTCCACTCTCAGCGGGTATAAATGCCATGAGCACGTGGTGCACATGTACGTGCTCAGGGAACACCCTGGTGTCTGCACCTCTCTCAGCAGCAACCTCATGGCAGGGAGGGGGGCCCTGTGGGGACAGGGCATTGGAAACCACAGGCTGGCATCCAGCGCGCTCCACAATAGGCCATCTCCTGAGGTATGTGCCCTCAGGCCAAGGCCCTGGCTCTGGAGATGCCCTGAGCACACCCCTTGCTGGGCCAGGCTGAAGAATTCCTCTCCTCCACTCACCTTTGCAGTCCCTGTTGTTCCAGGCCAGGGTGAAGCCGGTCGGACAGGAGCAGGAGAAGCGGCCAGGTGCATTGTGGCAGGAGTGGGAGCAAGGGCTGGGGCCGTCCACACACTCGTCCCTATCTGGGTGGGGAGAAGTAAGATATTCTGTGATCACAGGCCTCCCTGCCAGCCCGCCAGGCAAAGCATCCAGCTGGGGGTGAGAGGCCTCACCATACCCCCCAGGGTGGGAGGAAGAGCACTCACCTACACAAAATGCTCCCTGGGGGTCAAGCTCAAAGCCCTCTGGGCAGCCGACTTCATTCTCCTCTGCAAGGCAAATCAGGGAGGCCCTAAGGACCACAGAGGCAACCGTGCCCCAGGCTCATGGCTCCCTCCTGCCTGCTTTGTCAGGCCAGTATCCCTGAGCCAGGTACAAAGAGGGTGAGCCAGCACCACCCTGAGCCAGGCCGGGTGCCCAGCAAGGCAGCGATCCTGTTCCTGGCTCAGGCCTGTTGGAGGGGTTGGGTGCGGAACGTGCTGAGTCGTGCCCTTGAGGAGTTCACGGTGGGGCTGGGGTAATGAGTAATGAGTCAGGCAGACACAGGAAAAATCATTAAAGAAAACCACAGAGCAAGAGGTCCACACATGCAAAACTGTGCTTATGAGAATTCAGAGGAAGACCTGGATCTGTTGGCTAGGCAGGGAGGGCTTGAAGAATGGGTGAATGATGACATCTGCTGAGAACAGCAAGAGCAAAGCGGAAGATGTGTTCTGGAGTCAGGAAGGAAACCAGACTACCTAAATAACTGCAGTGGCAGCCACCATTTCTAAAGCGCCCACTGGTGACAGAAAAGGGCGTTATACTCTGCAAGGTAGGCGATGTCATACCCTTTGTGCAATTGAGAACATTGAGGCTCACAAAGGGCCAGGATGTCCCCAAGGTCACACAGCCAGGAAGTGGTGCAGCAGGGATTTGAACCAAGGATCTATCAGACCTCAAAGTAAGGTTAAAAACATTTTGGGACCTCAAATGTGGTAACATCTGTATCTTTAGCATCTATTGGCAGAGGAAATAGGGCATGTTCATGTGGGCCTTCAGAAGTTTAAACAGTGAATTTCACCACCTGGGTTAGGGTCGTGGTAGAAGAAGTGGTAAGTAGTTTGAGTCTTGAATATCAGCAGGGGTTAGGGAATGATCGGTAGAGCTGGGCAGTTTGACCTAACACCCTGGGGCCTAGTGAGAGCCCGCCAGAGAGTTTTGAACAGGATTGGCCTGAATGAAGAGCTGTCTTTACTGGGGGTGTGGCTAGATGGACAGGGATAGGGAGACAGGTTGGATGTGGGCTGACCAAGCAATGAGCTGTTTCAGTCCTTGAGCATACACAGTCTCTGATCATCAGATGCATGGAGTGTGTGTGCGCCAGCTTCCTGGCGTACTCAGGGCTCCCGGCTGCCTTTTAACTGGGAGAAGTGGTGGGTAGAGACAAAGGATGGAGCCTCACCAACTCGCAGGGCTGTGGTCAGCTGGAAGTGCAGGGCCTTGGCCTCGGGGTCAAAGGCCGTGCTCACAGCTGAAGCCCGAAGGTGCTGTACCAGCTGGGGCTGGGGGCCCTGGGCCGCGTTGTACTGTATGCTGTGGTTGCAGTGCAGGAATGTGGGGAGGCCGCCCTGCAGGAAGTGCTGCATGGAGCCCACAAACAGCTGGCCAGGCCCAGTCTGCACATAGCGCTCCTGGAAGTCCTGGATGAAGAGGAGGGAAGGGAAAATGCCTGGAATGTCAACTCAAAAGGCCCGGGACCCATGGCCTCCACTCTTGGAGCTGGGGAGTGCTAAACAGATGACCTGGGTGGGTCTCTGAGTTTTTCTTCCAACCAGATGGGTGACCTTGAGCAAGTCACTTCCCTTCAGGGTTCTAATTTATGGAATAGGGAGAATACTCCATCCCTAAGTATCTGGGCTCAGAGTATCCTCCCCCTGGGCTCGAAATCTAAGCTATTAGGCCTTCCCCAAGTCCAAGGCTGGGTCATGACCAGACCCTGTGGGGGTGTCAGGAAGAAAAGTGGGACCAGCTGCTAGGGGGATGGTTGAGGAAAGGTACCCCATTATCTCCCCCCCCACACACTCCATCTGCATGCCCCCAGGACAGTACTCTGAGGTTATGAAACAGTCTCGACCCCCACCTGCACTTGAATGTCTGCATCTGCGAGGCTCTTGGGGATGATGCCATTGACCATCATGTCGAGGAGAAGGAAGCCATCGGGATCCAGGCCCTGAGCCACTTGGGTTATTTTGAGCAGCTCCCCTGCAATCCCCACCCAGCCCAGAGTCATCATGGGGGAGAAGCCCTGGGCTCAGGCCTCAGCCCCACCTGGTTCACCTGAAGGGAGATCCTGCTGACCTGTAGCAAATTCCACATGTGACTCCTGCTGGAAGCTGCCACCCGTCAGTGAGTAGCCATTCAGGGCCTCCCCACTCTCTCCAGCCAGGGTCCAGTAGATAGGAGCAATGGCAACGATGAGTATACGCATCAACGGCCCTGAACAGGCAGGGCAGGGAGGTCAGGTTAGGGCTGGGCGGAGGGCAGCTACTCTCCTGCTCAAGGACCCCCTGTGGCTCCCTACTATCCCCCAGGAGAGCATCAACCCCTTCCCTCCCTGCCCACACTCAACTCCATGACTACCTGGGCCAGTTATTTCACCTGAAATCTGAAAAATGGCAAAGACAAATACCTACTTCATGGTGTTGATGGAAGATTAAGAAAATAAATTGACACAAAGAAATACATGTAAATTGCTGATATTCAACTCAATTCAACAAATATTGATTGAAAGCCTACAAGAGTACCTCAGAAACTGGGCTTCCACAGGCCCTCAATACATATTTGCTGAACTGAATTGAAATCCAACCAAGTTTTCTAAGGTGTAGACACCTTCTGAAAAAGCCTGGGAGAGGAAGGATCATCACTGACTGAACACCAGCCAAAAAATTGTCCTGGATGTGGCTTCTCAGACATTCATTCACATCATGCCTGGTCCTGCTCCCAAGGCCAGGTTGGGCCATGGACTGCAGAAGGGGGAAAGGTCCTGCTTGTTCAGGGTTGGGGTCAGTCAAGCTTCTCAGCTTTGACTCAGAAGAGAAGTGCCAGGAGACTGATGTTTATGGAGCAGAACCTTCTTGACCTGTCTGTGCCTCCCTTTCCACTAAACAGAGCCTGGCCCATCTGGCTTGGTGTCAGATATTCCTCTATGGCTCCTACTGGACTGTGGAAAGCGTCTTGCCTCAATCACTCTCTGCTGACAGCCAGCTCTAAGGCACTCCCCAGCCAAAGTCCCTGACTTAGCACTGTTCACATAGGTCAAGGCCAGCTTCAGAGGAGTTTATCTAGCAAAGACCTTATCAGCACTGCCCTCTCCCCTGCTCTGGACTCCCCCCCACCAATAGTCACAGGATCCTTTGGGAAGAGTGAGACTTCAAGGTCCATTAAATCAGTGTTTGTAGTAATGCCCCAGGAAGAGGCTGAGATGGTGAATGTCTCCCCAGAACCTTCTGTTTGCTTCAGACACAACTTTTTGTGAATTTGTTTGAAAGTGGACATTTCTTGGTTCTCCAGGTCTTCTAGTAATTTTATGCTCTGCAGGCCAACCCCCTTCTGTCCCCTCCAGGTCACAATTCCTTAATCATTACTGGTGATCTCTTTGCTTTTCTATCAGTCCCTGCCTTTAATAGTGGGAAAAGCTCCAACAGCAATCAAAAATCACTATCTGACCTCCTGCATCCACACAGTGCTGAGAAGTTGACACTCTTACTTGGCCTAATTTTAAATCCAGTTCTTCTGTTCTATTGAAGGGGTAGCAGAATGAGGAGCAAGCTGCCCACACCTAAGGTCACCTCAGCTTGGACTCAGCTTCCGGTAGAGGCTGTAACGCTGGGCAATTGATCTCCCTCCAAACAACAGGCCCTGAGCAAGCTCAGAGCACAAGCTTTGCCTCTTCCTGGACCCAGTGTATATCAGAGGGGCCCTGTGGGCTGGAGCACAGTGCACCCAGATGCAGGTGACACTCTAGCTTCCCCTTACCCACGTTTGCAGGGATGTGGTTGATGCTGCTCCGGATGGTGGTGGTCCCAGAACGTGCCTCCTGTTGCATGGTGGTATTGAGAGTGGCCTCACCAAATTCCTGGCCGTTGATCACCCCGATCACGCTGCCCCGGCTCCCCCGAGGCTCCTCTGTGAGGAAGAAAGTAAAAATAACATTTATTATCCACTTCATACCCTCAGTGTAAGTAGGTTCTGTTGTCATTCCCATTTCACAAAGGAGTAGACTGAGGCTCAGTGAAGTGAAGTAACTTGATCAAGGGCACGTGGCTAATGGATGATGGACTCAAAGCCCAGGGGATCCCAGCTCCAAAAGAGATGAGAGGCTGTTTGAAGGAGTCCTCTGCTGAAGGTGAGGGCTACTAGTTCTACCATCACCTTCTTTGAAATCTGGGCAAGTCAGGCCCTCAAGCCACCCATGAGTTTGCTTGGGACCACAGGCTGGCCAAAGACCTGTTGGGCTCTATAATGTCAGGAGCCAATAATGGTGGCAGCTGGCATGGTAGCGGGGCCAAGGGTGAAAGGCAAGGCATCAGGCTAGGGACTAAGTGCCACCACCTGAACTTCTTCTATTTCATCAGAGGCCCTGGAGAGAGCCTGGTTGAGTGGGTGGGTTGTCCAGCGGCCGCCAGGCAGTCTGCAAGCAGACGCTCTTCTGTAATAATCAGATGGATGGCGTGGGCACAGGGGGGTGCTACCTCTTCCTAATGGTGGACCAGCTGCCTAGTTTGGGCAGATGGCATTCCAGGGGGCAAGAGACAGAACCCAGCCTGCCTCTTTGCTCAGCAGCTCTCAGGGGAAATTAACAACAAATTGCCCATGATCTGTCGAAAAATAACATAAAACATTCAACTGCCAGGATCCTAAATGGGTAAATTGAGGGACTGGTTAATTTTGAATTCCAGGAAGCAGTGTGTTTCCTGCAGCCCAAAGCTGAAGTTTGATGAGATTTGATGGGTATCTGGGATGTCTCTTGTCAAGGTCCACTCTCCAGGGTTTATGCAAAGAACAGGAGAGGAGCGGCTGTGAACTTGCCCTGGCCTTTGTGTGTGCATGTGATTTTTTTTAAAGAAAATATATTTATTTTGTAGTTGTTGTTGAAAACATACACACATCAAAACATACACCAATCCAACAGCTTCTATATGTACAATCCAATTACATTCTTCAAGTGGTACAACCATCCTCAGCCTCCTTTTCTGAGTTGTTGCTCCCCAGTAAACATAAACTCACTGTCCCTGAAGGTCCAGATCTAATCTTTGGAGCTGCTGTTGACAATTTGATCCCACAGACAGGTCTTGAAAGAGTATAATGCTCTAGGCAGGCATTCTTTACTAGTTAAACTCAACCAAAACTGATTTTAAGACTTCTGGGAATGTTCCTGGTTTAATGTTGAAAGATTCTCTCAGGGCAGTAATTTCAGGGGTTAATCGAGCCTCCATGGCTCCAGAAAGTCTGGAATCCATGAGAATTTGTAATTCTGTTTTGCATTTACCCCTTTTTGATCAGCATTCTGCCATAGAATCTTTGATCAAAATGTTCAGTAATCTACCTCTGGACTTTTAATAAAGGGATGAGGAGGGATGGGTGCACTGCAGACAAAAAGGCAGCAGCATGACCCAGGCAATACTGCAAGGGGCCAGGAAATTAGAACCCGGGAACAGTACCACTGCTGAGTCTTTTCAGACAAAGATGACCTAGCAGCCTCTTGCTTCCCATACAGAGACAGGCCCTTCCCTCAGGCTGATAGGGGTATGAAATAGGTGGAAAGTCAAGTTTACAGTTAATCAAAGAGCAGTTGCCATCAAGTAGATTCCAACTCACAGTGACCCCATGTGTGTCAGAGTTGAACTGTCCTCCACAGAGTTTTTAATGGCTGATCTTTAAGATGTAGATCACCAGGACTTTCTTCTGAGGTACCTTTGGGTGGACTTGAACCTCCAACTTTTCGATTAGCAGCTGAACATGTTAACCATTTGCACCACCAAGGAATATAGCTTACAGTTAACTCCCCCCAAAAATCCCAAACCCATTGCCATCAAGTCTGTTCTGACTCCTGGTAACCCCATGTGTAGAACTCCTCCACAGGGCTTACTTGGTTGTAATTTTTACGGGAACAGTTCACCAGGGCTTTTTGCCACAGAGCTGCTGGGTAGGTTTGAACTGACAGTCTTTTAGGAAGTTAGCAGTCAAATCCAAAATGCTTGTGCCACTCAGCCTCCCTTAGTTTATAGCTGTTGTTGTTGTTGTTATGTGCCGTCGAGTCGGCCCCAACTCATAGCGACCCCTCCTTTAGTTTCCGAGGCAGTATCACTACGGAAGTAGGATTGCCCAACCTTCCTTCCGAGGAGTGGCTGGTGGGTTTGAACCACCAGCCGTCTGGTTAGCAGGCAAATGCCTTAGCCACTATGCTACCAGAGCTCCTAGTTTATAGTTAGGGGCTTCTAAAACTTTCAACATATATTTCACTTATCTAGCAATGCCCCTTAAAGGAATTTATTCTATAGAAATATTCAAACTACAACACAAAGATGGCACCAGATTGTGGTTTGTGGAGGGCTAATTAAAACAATAACAACAACAAAAAACCTATGTTGCTTATTTAACAAAGCTAATAGCAATTAAGTTAAAAAAAAAAAAAAAAAAGAAATCCCACACAATGGAATGCTATGAAGCCATTAAAGAGGATGTGGAGCCAGGTTTATTGAAATGAAATGTTCATGATAGAGTAAGTAAAAATGGCAGGTTATAAAGATAATCTATTAATTTGACCTTGTATGTGAGAAGAAAAACATGTATCTCTTTACATTCAGAGAGAAAGTATGGAAGAATAGGCTCAAATAAATGCCTGAGTTACTGTGGTCATTGAATTATGGGAAATGATTGATAGCTACTCTTTCCTTCAGATTTCTGTATTGTCTGACCTGTCTACAGTTGGTATCTATGAGGGAGAGGAGTGTTGTTTCTGTTAACAAAGGGACTGTCTGCAGAGCTCTGTGGTTTAGGTTGGGGGCTTCTCAATGGGAGGGGTAAAGATTGGGACCCAGCTCTGAAAGAAAGGGAGGGCTTACTCAGGCCTGAACATGCCTCAAATATGGTATCTGGGGCTGTTTCACTGAATTTTCCACTGCATTTTTCTAACTCATTGAATTTTCAGAGCTGCTGTTGTTGGCCTGCCACCCTTGCCTGCATGAGAAGAAGAGACCAGTGGCCAGAAAGAGTTCCATAGTTGCTTGGTAGTGGGTTTCAAGTGACAGAGTGTCAAGTGGGCTTCTCTTCCAGTCTCAATTCCAATTAGTTGAGAGGCGCTGCCTGGAGAAGGGTTCTATGGAGCAGGATTCTTACACTGTGTGCAGAGATAGATTAGTGATGTTTGACACAGACAGGGGTGGAGATGTGAAATAACAGCTATGAAGTACTTACTACAGAGGCACAGTCCATTCAGAAATAATATTCTGTGAATTTTCTTTATGTAGACCATTTTATGGTAGTTTTTCAGGATAGACCTTTTCTCTGTTTTAAGGTTTGGTTTGTCCCAAGGGAGCAGGGAATCCCAAAATGGAAGGGGTAACATCATAAGCAGTATTCTTTCCTGACCACTTGCCATGGTCAGGCAGTATGCAAAGCTCAGAGCAAGCATTAATTCATAGACTTTCACAATATCCCCTGAGGTGGGCACCACGGATGCCCTTGTTTTATTCCGCCCACTTCCCAGGCTGTACAGTGTCCAAAGACAGAACATGTGTCCTTGCCAAGTAAGATGGAGGTAGCCAGGGTTCCCTGCTCAAGATGACTGCCAAACACATAGCATCCCCCAGCTGCAGGTAAGTAGGGTAGATAAGATAATCCCTAAAGCCCTCTCAGCTGGTTCATTCTGAATTTGTGACTCTTAGCAAAGAGAAGGACTGGAGAACTAGCAGGGAAGTAGGCTAGGTCTCCCAAAAGCAATATACAAATCCCACAGAAGATCCTCCCTCTGTCCATGAAAGTTCTGAGCAGGGATACCCCCATACCTCTCACGGCCAAGAACGCCTGGGCTCTGGCAGATCCTAGGAGGTTGTGAGCGACACACTCATACACGCCTGCGTCCCTGGCCTCCACATGCTCCAACCACAGGCTTCCATCTGGCAGGGTCTGGAGCCGCTGGCTGGCCCGCAAGGGCTGGCCTGATCGCAGCCACTCCACTGTGGGCACTGGCTCTCCAGTGGCCTGGCATCGCAGGGCCACGTCCTCCCCAGATCTCACTATCGCATCCTGGGGTTCCACCTGGAATACTGGAGCACCTATGGGAGGCCCATGGCAGATTTTTAGGAACATTTTTGTAAGTTCAAGTGATAAACATTCATTTAGACCAATGAGAAAACAAAAAGAGGCAAAAGGTCTTACTACCCAGTTAATGTTTCTGAGTATTTCCTCCTAGATTTTGTATTTGCATGTTTTTCTTCTTATGAAAATATGGTCACATTGCACATACTTACTTTTTTTGTTTTTGTTTTTTTATGGCATGAACAGTCTTTTTTTGCTGACAACAGGATGTGAGGAGGGGATAGACAGCTCCTGCTTCAGATGTGGCATTCAGAGTCAGAGTCTAAGTGGCAGTTCTCAGAAAGGACATACCTACTTTTTATTTTACTCTATAATATTTCTTATTTCTTTAGCACAAAAGAAGATAGTAAAAGAGGAGAATAAAAATAAAAACGATAGGAGACATACAGAAAACAGACATCAAAATGGCAGGCATAGATCCAATCATTAAATAACTACATTAAGCATTAATGGGCTAAACATGCCAATCAAAAGGCAGAATTGATAGACTCATCTGGAACCAGAAACCTATCCCTGTCCATGACATCCATGACAAAAACTCTCTAAGACCGACTAGTAATAAAATGGAATTTCCTCAACCTTATAAAGGACATTTGGAAAAAACCTATAGCAAATATCATAGTCAATGGTGAAAGACTAGAGGTTCTCCCCCTAAAATGGGAACAAGGCAAAGATGTAAGTTCCCACCACTTTTATTCAACACTGTACTGGAGGTTCCAGACAATGCAACATGGCAATAAAGAGAAATTAAAGTATACGGATCGTAAAAGAAGAGGTAAACTTGTCTTTAATCATAAGCATGATCTTATATGTAGAAAATCTTAAAGAATCTGACCAAAAAAAAAAAAAAACAAAACCTAGAACTAAAAAACTAATTTAGCAAGGTTGCAGGGTACACAATCAAGATATAAAAATAAATTGTATTTCCATATATTATCAATGAACAATAAAATCTAAGAAAACAATTCCATTCATAATAGCATTAAAAAGAATAAAATATTTTGCAATATATTTAAAATAAGTACAAAACCTATACACTGAAAACTACAAAATATTACTGAGATAAATTAAAGAAGACCAAAATAAGACCCTTGACAGAGAGGGAGAACAATGTGGGACAAAACTCAAAATCATTTGGAGGAAAAAAAAAAAGAGGTGGGGGACCAGGTTTCTGGTCTGACAGAGCCTGGTGGAACCATTGAGACTATGGCCTCTAGCTGCCCTTCAGGTCTGGAATTGAACCCACACCTGTGGTTTCCAGCCAAACAAAAGACAGGCATATGAGTTGAACATCTACCTCAAGTAGATACACTCCTAGGAGAGAACAATCATGGGAGAAAAAAGGGCTTCTTATGCACAGGGAGACAGCTCAGGGGGCAGGAGTGCATGGAGGGATGGACACTGCGAAGAGGTAACTATCGGGAGGAAGTGGGAAGGGAGCTGGTGAACTGTGGTCAATGTCATGAGACAAAGTGTATGTGAACTGCTGTATGGAAAGTGAATTTGCTCTGTAAATCTTCACCCAAATCACAATTAAAAAAAAAAAAAAAAGAAGAAGAAGAAGAAGAAGACGACGACCTAAATAAATAGTACTGGAAAATTGGATTTCCATATGCAAAAACAAAGGCATACCTTATCTCACACAAAAAAATTAACTCAAAGTGGATCATAAGCCTAAATGTAAGAATTAAAACTATAAAACTTCTAGAAGAAAATGTGACCTTAGGTTAGGCAAAGAGTTTTAAAAATATAATGCCAAACACAGGATCCATAAAAAAGAAAATTAATAAATCTGGACTTAATCAAATTATAACACTTTAGCTCTCCAAAGGCACCATTAAGAAAATATAAAGACAAATCACAGAACGCGAGACACTATTTTCAAATCATATCTCTGATAAAGGTCTTATATTCCAATTACATGTAAAGAACTCTCATAATTCACTAATAACACAATCAACCCAATACAACAATAGGCAAAAGATTTGAATAGACACTTGACCAAAAAGATACGAGTGGCTAATAAGCACCTGAAAAGATGCTCAATATCATTAGTCATTACAGAAATGCAAACTAAAATCACTTTACACCGACTGTTGTTAGGTGTCTAGTAGTTGATTTTGACTCATAGTGACCCCATGTGACAGACTAGAACTGCCCCTTAGGGTTGTTTTCTAAGCTGTGATCTTTACCAAAACAAATCATCAGGTTTTTCTCCCACAGAACCACTGGGTGGGTTTGAACTGCCAACCTTTCAATTAGCAGTCAGTTGCTTAACTGTTGTGCCATGAGGGCTCCTTTCACACCTACTCCAACCAACTCACTGTTGTCAAGTCAATTCCAATTCACTGTAGGTCAGAGTAGCACTGTCCCAGAGGGTTTCCAAGGCTGTACGACTACAGAAGCAGACTGCTACCCAGATCTTTCTCCTATGGAGCAGCTAATGGGTTTGAACCCCCAATCTTTTGGTTAGCAATTGAGTTTTTTAACCACTGTGTCCCAGAACTCCTAACACTTCTACTCAAAAAAAAAAAAAAAAAAACGTGTGTGTGAACTGCTATATGGAAAGTGAATTTGCTCTGTAAACTTTAACCCAAATCACAAAAAAAAAAAAAAAAAAAAAAAAAAAAACCCGACCAAACTCACTGCCATCGAGTCAATTATGACTCAGAGCAACCCCCATTGGGTTGTAAATCTTCAGGGAAGCAGACTGTCCCATCTTTCTTCTGTGGAGTGGCTGGAGGGTTCAAACCACCCACTTTTTGAATAGCGGCCAAATGCCTTAACCACTACACCACCAGAGCGTTTTACACATGTATTCACCAAAAACAAACCAAACTCACTGCCATTGAGTTGACTGTGACTCACAGCAAACCCTCCTTGGGTTTCCAAGGCGGTATCTCTACAGAAGTATATTGCCCAGTCTTCCTTCCCAGGAGTAGCTGGTGGGTTTGAACTGCCAGCCTTCTGGTTAGCAGTCAAATGCCTTAGGCACTACGCCACCAGAACTCCCACACATGTACTAGGATGGTTGCAATAAGACTGGCATTACCAAGTGTTGGTGAAGATGTGGGAAAATTGAAACCCTCATACACTGCTGATGGGAAAGTAATAGTTCAGCCATTTTGCAAAAATCATTTGGCAGTTTCTTAAAAAGTTAAGCATATACTTACCATTCAATGTAGCAATTAGACTCCTAGGAATCCACACAAGACATACGAGAACATATATCCACAGAGACTTGCAGGTAAGAATTCTGGGAGTGAATACTATCCTATTTTCTGAACTGGATACAGGTGAAATGGAGGGGTTCACTTTATGAAATATCCTTGAACTGTACACTTAATGATACTTAATGTGTCTTAATCTTTAATAAAAAGTTTTATTAAAAATTCCCTATCTAGGTTGTTGGGCAAATGCAAGGACTGTTGTGGTCTCCGTGATACTTTTAAGTTTTGTATGTCCAGTGCTCTCTAGGTCTGGGTATTCCCTACATAGAAAAACATTTCATAAGATTCAAATTGTGTGTTCTGAATAAATATTTGTAGCAGACTTCTAAGTCCCCAGGCCCTGACTCTCTCCTCCAGTCTGTGAGACAGCCATGGCCACACCATCCACAGCCCCAACATAGCTCTCCCCTGAGTGCCCACTTCATACTGTGCCCAGCCCCGTCCTGCTGAGAAGAGCCCAAGACCAGGGAAAGGAGAGGCTGAGACTCACTCTGAAGTACAAGGACCACCACTTTCTCCACCGCACCCATCTCGTTCTCTGCCAGGCACTGGTACTGTCCAGCATCGTCCAGCTGCAGGTGGGCATGGGAGGAAGGGAGCAAGGTATCAGAAAAGGAACCTGAGGAGGGGAGCAGCGTGGGGCTGGTGGGCATGGAAAGGGGTGCTGGACCAAGGTCCATCTCTTCAGGAAGGAGCTCAGAGCATAAACCAGCTGCGGGCCCATGGATTCCCCATCTGTCCAAAGTACCAGAAGGCCTTTGTGGCCAATTGTCAATGGAGATTCTAAGAGAATCCAGCCGGCTGCCACCCCAGAACTGGAGCAGGGGAGGGAGGATGGGCAGTGACTAAGGGTATGGGCTTGTCATCCTAGGTAGAGCCAGATGCTGTAAATAGCACAGTTTAGATTCACCTCTTCCAGCCTGTGTACATTGAAACATCGTTCCATGGCATGTTATTGAGGCTTCCTTGAAAATAGGTTCCATGGCTAAATACATTTGGGAAAAACTGAGTTAGATAACAACGTGTTTCTGAACTGTAGGCTTTCTCAGGGCTTTTATTGCATTGGTGGGTCTTGGGAGTCTTCCAGAATGGGAGACAGTTTGCAGTATTCCCTCAGTTTGGTGATAAACCACTGCTGTCCAGTCAATTCCAATGCATAACTGACAGTAATAATAATAGTACTAGTAGTACCAGTACTATTACTAGTAGTAACAGCAGCAACACCAGTAGTAATAGCAGTATCAACAATGGCTACCATTACCTCAGTACTGACCGTGGGCCAGGCACTGTGCCTAGCACTTTGCAAACACCATTTTATTTAATGCTTATAATCTTAGCAGTTTTATCCCTTTTAAAGATGGGGAAACTGACCATGTAAGACCGAGTAGAACCACTTCATAGGGTTTTCAAGGCTGTGAATCTTTACAGAAGCAGACTGCCTCATCTTTCTCCCACACAGTGTCTAGTGGGTTTGAACAGCAAAACTTCTGGTCAGCAGCCAAATGCCTTAACCACTGTGCCACCAGGGTTTCTCACTTAAGTGGCAGCCTGCCCATTTTACAGATGAAGACGTTGAACCTCAGAGAAGCAAGTTTACATCCTGGGAAATTTCATTCACAGGCTATCCATGAACATGGATATTATGGAACTCGGGAAAAACACTGGCTCAGATTCACTTCTGGGTACCAGTGGTGTCACATGATGGAGCTGGGGTATAGCCTGGGGCCACTGTCCACACTTAAATGATGATATCGAGGTTGTATTCAAGGGACCATCAAGGAACAACACGGCACAGTGAAGAGTATAGATTTGGGGGTCAGATCGATGTGGGACCAAATCCCAGCTCTACCATTTACCATACTAAGTCCATTCCTAGGATCATGTCTCTGGAGCCTCAGTTTCCTGATCTTTCAAATGGGCATAATAACTGCTAGGACCATTGTAAGCACAAAGTAAAATGGTGTCTGTGAACTACAAGGCATAGTGCCTGGTAAGTACTGAGGAAAGGGGAGCATTATTGTTGCTGCTATTACTACTCAAAAAACAAAACAAAACAAAACAAAACAACAACAACAACTCACTGCCACTGAGTCAATTCCAACTCATACCAACCCATTTTGGGTTTCTGAAGCAGTAAGTCTTTACAGAAGTAGATTGCCCAGTCTTCCTTGTGCAGAGTGGCTGGTGGATTTGAACCACCAACCTTCTGGTTAGCAGTCAAATGCCTTAGGCACTGCGCCACCAGACTATTATTACCACTCCTATTATTACTACTCCTATTATTATACTGTCCAGAGATAGGCTCCCAGGCTGGTGAGATCAGGGACCCCTAAGATGAGCTTGAGTCAGGACCGAACTGAGTCTCTGCATGATTGCTGGACTTGAGACACAGAAGGGAAGGCAGGGGCTGGACAGACCCAGTGCCCAAGGCTTTGGAAACAGAGTAAGGATCAGGAGACCTGACTGTGTATCTCTATATTACCAATGAACAATTTTTAAAAAATCTAACTAAGAAAAAATTCAACCCACAATAGCATTGAAAAGAATGAAGTGCATAGCAATATGTCCTGCCTCTGGGATTTACTGGTTGCAGGGCCCTGGGAAAGTCATTTTGTCTCTCTGCACCTTACTGTCTTCATCTGTAAAATAGGGCACAATTACCTGCCTAGCCTGCCTCATGGGGTTGTTGAAAGCAGTAACATTTATTGGCCATAACCCATGGGTCAAACCAAAAACCAAACCCACTGCCCTCGAGTGGATTACAAATCACAGCAACCCTACAGGACAGAGTAGAAGTGCCTCATAGGGTTTCCAAGGCTGTGAATCTTTACAGAGCAGACTGCCTCATCTTTCTCCCATGGAGTGGCTGGTGGGTTTGAACCACTGATCTTTTCTTTTTGGTTAGCAGCCCAATGCCTTAACCACAGTGCCACCAGAGCTCCTTAACCTATGACTAGTCATGCTTAAATACCTGAGATGGATCATTTCACTGATATCTCATGGTAAACCTATGAAGTAGAACACTATTAGCCTCATCAAATGGTTAGGGTTACTAAGGCAGTTAAATCACTGGGAAGATACCTGGGTAACGGGCAGGAAAACGCTTTGTAAACTGTGGAGTGCATGGCCAAACTGAAGAACCCTTCTGAGCAATCAGAAAGAGTCTAGGGTTGTGCGTGGCGGCCCCACCTCCAGGCGCCAGGCCCCTCCTTACCTCAGTCCTGTGGATGGTCAGTGAGCCATTCTGCAGCTGGTACCGGAGAAGGCTGCCCCGAAGTGGAAAGCCATCCTTGATCCAGCGGATGCTGGGCACTGGGTCTCCATGGACCACACAGTCCAGCTGAACACTGCCCCCAACAGGTTCCACCAGATAAGAGAAGGCCTTCCCTTGTAGGACGGGAGCTTCTGCATAGAGTGACACCAGATGAAGGGTCAGGAAGGAGGTTCCCTTCAGGTTCGGTCCTGCCCAACTTCTGCCCTCAGGGGCCTTCAGAGTCTCCTAGTAGCCTAGCATGGTTGTGTATAGTAAATGCATCAAGGATGGTAAACAACTTCCACGTCATGGGCCAAATCAAAAAGACTGGTAGTGAGTGGTTGCCAGGAACACTGTGCTAAGAAGCATTTTGAGGATCAGTGGGAATAGTGTTGTGATTGATTAGTGATGCCTGAAACAGATACGGGCAAGAATGTAGTGTTCCATGTGTCAGATACTCACTTTCACAGAGGGATTATCCCAGCTGCAAAGCCCCAAGCCAGGTACTTTGGAAAATAAGAACTATATGATCATTAAGACACTGTTGCACACAGCAACAGATTTCCCTGATTCTCATTTCATGTGAATTTCAAAACATTCTTGGGTGCCCTTACAGTTTCCATCTTTCTGGTTTCTTGAGGTTCCATCTACCAGAAGTTACAGCTGTGTCCTGGGGTGTTCGTTCTCCTCCATTAAGCCCCACTCACCCTATTCATCCTGAAGTTGAGCAAACTAAGTCCTGATGTCACTGAGGGTTGCAATGCTCCCCTGGAGGAGCAGGGCCACAGGGGACAACCGGCAGACTGGCAAGCTTCACACATTTTTCTGGCCCCACGCCTTCCTCCCAACTGGCACTGCCCAGCTGGGGGTAGTGCTAAAGGCCAGTTGGTCAGATCCCCCATTCTACCTGTACCCAGAGTCCTCTAGGAGGCATAAAAGATACCAATGCCTGGGTCCAATCCCAGAGATTCTGGGGTGGAACCTGGATTACAGGTATTTTATAAAATTCCCCAAAACCAGAAAAACAAATTCACTGCCATCAAGTTGGTTCCGACTCATAGTGGCCCCCATTGGGTTTCTGAGGCAGCAAATCTTTACGGAAGTAGACTGCCCCATCTTCCTTCTGAGGAGTAGCCAGTGGGTTTGAACGGCTGACCTTCTGGTAAGCAGTCAAATGCCTTGGACACTACACCACCAGAGCTCCTTATAAAGCTCCCCAAGTGGCTCTAATGTGCAGCCAGGGAGAAGAGCCACTCATTAACAGGTCAGGGGGCCAGTCCCTTGGGTTGATTCTGCAAAGGACAGAGAAAGAAAGGCCACTTGGGTGTGCCCTACCCTTCACGTGGACAAAGCTGACAGCCTGCACACGGCCCACTTTGTTCTCTGCCCAGCAGATGTAGATGCCGCTGTCCTCTCTGGTGACTGCCACCCGCTGCAGTGTGCTGCCCCCATCCTGTTCTGACACTCCCTCTGTAGTGGAGAGATACCCCAAGGGGACTCTGAGCCCAGGGCGACAGGGACCTCCTGCCCTGAATACTTCACTCAGGACTGGGGACCCAGCAGGTGTTTCCCAAAGGTGTAGAAAACCGCAGGGGAAAAGCCTAACCAAGTCAGACAGTTCTTGGGAGGCACAGGCCATATACAAAGATGTCACAAAAGGACCACTTCTTCCCATTTTCAGGTAATCACAGTGACTTTGATGAGTGGCTAAGGGCAGGCCTTTGGAGACCTATTAACATGTGGCAATTATAGCAAACATTGCTGTACTTTATATGCGGATGAAATCTGTTAACAGCCTGAACAGGGATAAGTGCGACCATCGGGCATTTGTTCCGGGTGAGGCTTGGTGCCAAGCACACCTTCTGCATTAAATCATTCTGACCTCCGAAGATCCTGTTACCCCATTTTACAGATGAAGCAACTAAGCTCAGAGAGGCTGAGTCACTTGCCCAGGGCTCATGCCCCGGGAAGAACTGGGGCCCAGCTCTTCTTCACAGGCCGGCAAAGGCTTGATCCTGCATGGGTTTCACAGCCCTGGCCTTGAATTGTGGAGGGCTCCTGATGTCGTATTCTAATGTAGGGAAGTGTCATTTTGTAGTGGAGGGGCCTTGGCAATTCATCAATACAGCAGATCCTCATTGAGCACCTACTATGCACCCCAAGGGCTCTGTGCCTCCTTGAACATCTCCTGGGTCCCAAATGGGAAGATAGTGCCTCTTGGGGAAAGGGGTTTGCAGAGCAGGCATCTCTGCTCAGCCCCAAGGTCTCTGGGGTGAGACTTCTTCGTAGGTAGCTTCTTGCCTGCTCTGACGGGTAGTGGGGCAGGGTAGCCATGCAGGGGTTTGCCCTGATCCTTCACTTGGGGCCAAGTCTGAAGTCTCAGAACCCATAGGACAGACCAATGCACTCTTCGCCTCCACTAGGTAGGATGGCCCTATCTGCCTGCCCCTCCTCGAGTTCCCAGGGCTCCAGCAGCCCTTCCACCCACCACTGCAGGCCCAGACCTGTGACCAGCCGGTCGTTGACAGTCCAGCCAATGTGAGGGGTGGGACTGCCCCGGGCAGCACACCGAAGCCACAGTCTCTCCCCCAGGCGCAGGCTGCGGTCCCCGGGCAACGTGGTGAATACAGGCAGTGCCAGGATGGTGAGGTGTACACGGCGGCGGGCACGGCCCACAGAGTTCTGGGCCGTGCAAGTGTAGGTGCCAGCATCCTGGCTCTGTGGGCAGAGAGAGAGGTCAGCCTGAGAACCAGCCCCATCGTAGGCCAGAAGGCCCTCAGGACTTGTTTCCCAAGTGACTTGCCCAAGGTCTCACAGCTAGCAAAGGGCTTGGCTTTACCACCATGGCCTTTGTACGGCTCTACACCTTCCTAGTTGAGGTCCTAACCATGTGAACATAGTCACCCGCAGAGCACCTACTCTCTGCCAGGACCTGTGATCAGAATGTGACCTGCATCAGCTCATTCCATGCTCGCATCACCCTTGAGGCAGGTCCTACTTTGGGGGCATCTTCCTAGAGGGCCCAGCAAGGTTCAGAGAAGTTATGTGGTGCATTTGAACAAGATTAGACAGCTCACCACTGCACCATCCAGATTCCTGATGGGCAAGTCCAGGGCCTCTATGACCCACCCCCAGGCATATATTCCACCCAAGCAGCCACCCATTCCCTGCAGATCTGTCCAATATGCAATTACAGAATCTGATGGGGAAAGGGGCTGGGAGGCCTCACCCACACCTCTGGCTCAGCTCCACCCCTGGGGCTGGGGAGGACACCTGACATCAGGGTAGTTTGAGAATAACCAGACGTAATTTGGAGGCACAAAGATGTTCCCCAGGCCAGGCTCTCTCCCTCTCCCAGAAGATTGCTATGGAGGCCCAGGTTCAAATCTTGGCTCTGTGTGTTGAGAAAACTAGGTACACACTGAACCTTGGTTTCCTTATCTGTATCTGGGGATGATAACACCTATCCCTTCTTGGGATGAAAAGCCCCACTGCGTGAGGCTCAGTGCAGAGTGTGAGAAACAGTGGTGTTCAGCTGATGTTTGCTCCTGTTGCTGCTACAATTACTCCCCACTGCGTTCCACAGACTAGGCCCTTACCTCTGAGTTCTTTACCAGCAGCTCCCCAGAAGGCTGGATGGTGAACCTGCCCTCAGCTCCAGACACAGGCTGGCCATCTTTTTCCCAGGTGATGTTGGGCTCAGGACTGCCCCTGGCCGTGCAAGGCAAGAGGGCATGGGAACCTTCAGTGGTGGACAGGTCAGGGACTCCAGTCTCAATCGTGGGTGGAACTGGGAGGAGAGAAAGGTCCACTCACGGCTGGACTCTGGTTGGGCTTGGGTGGGCTACCCCTGTCCCAGTGCCCATGGCACTTGGCACAATCCCACAGCTCCTTCCTCTACCCCTATTTGCTGTCCCCACCAACTTTCTGGTTGGAGATCATCACTTGAGGCCTGGGTGAGTTCAAGATTCTCTAGAGTTTGGTAAAACTGTATGTTACAGATTGAATTGTCCCTCCTGCATGGCACCCCCCTCCCCCAAATATGTGCTAGAATCCTAACCCCTACACCTGTGAATAAGGAGCTTTGGTGGCATAGTGGTTAAAACATTGGGCTGCTAACCAGAAGGGTAGTGGTTTGAACTCACCAGCTGCTCCCCAGGAGAAAGATGAGGCAGCCTACTTCTGTAAAGATTTACAGCCTTGGAAACCCTATGAGGAAGTTCTACTCTGCCCTAAAGAGTTGCTATGAGTTGGAATCGACTGGATGGCAGTGGTTTTTATTTTTGTGGTTGTCGCTGTTTGTTTTTTTAATACCTGTGGATGTGATGCTGTTTGGAAAAAAGGTTTTCTTTGTTATGTTAATTAGATCAACCAGAGTAGGATGCTTTCTAAATCTAAACCCTGAGTGATCAAAAGCAGAATGGAGACAGACAGACAGACAGACAGACACACACACACACAGGGGAAGACAGACACCAAGTCAGGATGGTCTACAAAACAAGGAACCATGAAAAGCCCAGGGCCCCTGACAAGGGAGGAACAGACATGGCCCAGGACTCTGATTTGGACTCCAAGCCTCCAGAACTGTGAGGAAATACATTACTCTTCTAAAAGCCACCCACTTGTGGTATTTCTGTTATAGTAGTACTAGGAAACTAAGATAGTGTGACAGGGAAACCGGATGGAGCATGAGCACACGCACATGTGCGCCACACACGTACTGACTGACTAAAGGCTTCAGCGGAGAGACCTATTTAATCAGGCCCCACTCGGGTACAGGATCCTCCTGACAGGCAGCCCCCAGGGCCAAAAGCAGAACAGCTGTCAGCGATGCTGGGGTCAGAGTGAAGGCTGCTGGGTGGACAGGCTTCAGGTCTGAGTCCTCTGGTGACCAGCAGCAATGCTTCAGGCCACAGAGAAAAGGGCATGCTGGTCAAGGCATGGGGAGCAGGCATGGAGCCAGGAATCCCTCTGAGTTCACGGTGAAGTCAGAAGGTGGTGGCAGTCAATGATAATGAAGCAGCCACAGACAGCAGCCCGCAGGCATAACCTCTGAACATGGCCTTGAAGAAGATCTCTTGGATCAAAGCATGGCCGATCCAGACAGAACATTCCCAGGATGTTGTGCAGATTGACAGGGATTGTTCAAACTAAGGGAACAGCACATTTAATTTTGTTTGTGCAGGAAAAGGGACAGAAATATCTACTGTTACTGGAAAGTCAAAATTACTGAGGGACATTACTGGAGGGGCCAGAAAGAAGGCAGTGCGAATGAGAATTTATTGTCAGAAGCCAGACCTGGAGGGCTGAGATGTTTTCCTTCAATTCTTTCTATACCTACAAGCAGTGCTTGGCTTTGGGGCATTCTGGAATATGCCTGGAACTGGTCAGCCCTAATTCCTCTCTATCAGAGGAAAAGTTCTCAGGAGCTGTTGGTCACTGGGGGCTACCTTGTCCCCTCCTATGGGCCTACCTTGCACCACCAGCCGTGTTTTGCCCACGGCACTGCCTGCACTGTTCTGGGCGATGCAGAAGTAGTTCCCAGCATCCTCTGTGCTGGTATGGATAATCCGCAGCTGTCCACTGGGGAGGATCTGCATCCTTGCTCCTGGATGCAGAAGGAGAAAATCGAGGGCTAGGGACTGGGCTGGCTTGGGTTGTTATGTCTGACTTGGTAGCCAAGGTGACTTGCCATGGTCACAGGATGAACAGGGTAGCCTGGCCTAGTAGTGGGCTGTCCCCTCCTTGATCTCCCAACTCAACCTTGAGTGCCCAGAAGAAGTCCAGGTTCTGGGGCAGGTGGGGGTGGTGAAAGGAGAAGGGAAGACAGCAGGAGGTAAAGCCAGGGCAGGGGTGGGGGTGTGCATGTGGGCAGATCCAGGGCTTCTGGAAGCCTCTCTGCAGGCCCACAGAGTGTCCTGGGCAGGAGGGAGGCTGGCCAGGCCTGCACCATTCTCCCCCATTCTCGATCTGGCTGCCATGGAGACTCACTTGCAGGGATGCTGAGCCCCTCTTTCTGCCAGGTGATGCTTGGCCGGGGGATGCCTGAGGCCTCACAAGACAGCACCACCTCCTCCTCCTCCAACACCCGAACTATGCTGGGCAAAGGCTTCACCACAGGGGAGGCTGCAAAAGAACAGGACAGAGGTCCCTGGGACACCTTTAGTACCCAGGTCCCTCCAACCAGGTGGCCTTTGAGCACTGGAGAGGCCTCTAAAGAGACAAGGGAGTTCTGGAAACCTCCCTAAGGAGATGTCAGGGCCTGGCAGGTAGAAAGATTCTTTTCTCTCAAGGAATTCCATCGAGGAGTCTGATCATAGGCAGTCCAGGCATCTGGAGCCCTGGGACCTTCACCTCCATTCCCAATCCCCCAGATGCACCTGCTTCTACCTTGCCACCTGCTCCACAGCCCCAAGGGCTCTCTTATACAGGGACTCTTACCTTGCACAGTGAGGACCACATGTTTGTGGGCCACACCAGCAGAGTTGTGGGCTGTGCAAGTGTAGCGGCCAGCATGGATAGGGAGGGCCTGTCTGATCTCCAGGGCACCTGTGGGTGGGAACCAGGCATGGAAAGGAGCAAGGAGCCTGGGGCAGATGTGCATAGTGATGGAGCAGGCCAGGTTCTTACACACCACACTCTGGTGCCTGCTCCAGGCCATTCAACTTGCCTCCTGTGCCCTTGTGTAAACAGCACTAGGGATCAGATGAGGTGGGAACCTGGGTTCTAGATCTGCCATTCTCCCTGCCAAGAGCATAACCATGGGCAAGTCCCTTTCCCTCTCTGGGTCTCAGTTTCCCTGTATGTTCAAAAAGGAATTGGATAAGATAGTTTCTGAGATCCTTCTGGCTGTGATGTTTTAGGATCTGCCCTGACCCATCCACAGTTCCACACAAGCCCTCACTCTGCTCTCCTTACCATGCTCTGCTCAAAACTCACCTCCTCCAGGAAGCCTCCTCTGATTACTGCCACCTCTCACCCTCCCTTAGCCTTGCAAAGTCAATGAACACCATTTAACCTTCCTAGACTATATCTAGGCAGTTGAGTGGTTTCTATATCATTCTCCATGGATCCCTGAGGGCCTGCTGGACTTGAGACCACCCCCATATCTCCAGCCGGCTATAGCTGAAAGCACAACCTGTTTTACAAGTGGAGATTTCTTGTAACTGACTGTTGGAACACAGAGCTCTAGAGCTTCAGAAGAGTTTGAGAATCATAGACCTAGCCAGTGAGTGCCAGACTTTAGGATTCCTCTAACCAACTAATAAAGCAATTTAATTTGGGGAATCCCCATAAAGGTGCCAACTTTCTATTTTGACAAGCAAAGACATTTTTAAAAAAATAAACACCATCCATTATTCCATTATTCCCCTGGGAGCTCTGGTGGCGTAGTGCCTAAGGCATTTGACTACTAACCAGAAGGCTAGCAGTTCAAACCCACCAGCCACTCCTTGGAAGGAAGGTTGGGCAATCTACTTCCGTAGTGATACTGCCTCGGAAACCTAAGGAAGGGTCGCTATGAGTCAGATCCGACTCGACAGCAGCGAGTCTGGTTTTTGGTTTTTATTATTACCCTAACTTCATAAAACAAATGAACTTTTAAAACAAACAAACAAAACAAAACAAAACAAAAATTAAGAAGAGCACCATTTCAGAAAGGACAATCCTGAGTAAGACTAGCTTTATGAAAATACTGCATGTAGTTATTATTTTTCTCATTTTGCTGTGAAACAGCTCTGATTAGCCAACTAGCATCAAGAAACCCCTGATGGATCTCAAAACTGCAGTGCACAGAGGGGATACTGAGGCCCAGAGAGGGCAAGTGAATTTCCCCAGGTCACACAGTGAGAGAATGGCAGAACCAGGCCAGAACTTTCCATCTTGCCCCTCCATGTCGCTCCAATCACTCCTTTCACCCTCTCTGCCCAGTTCTCCTTGTCTCACTTAGCAGCACCTCTCCATGGCTCACCCTTACTTACCCGTGGGTAAGACACGATAGCCACTTCCCCGCAGCCCAAGCTGGGTGCCCGCTCTGCTCCAGGACACAACTGGGGCTGGGATCCCTGTGCTATGGCATGTGAGGACCACAGGCGCCATCTTGGTCACGGTGAAGTCCGTCTGGTCGTCAGCAATGGTGGGAGGCACTGAAATGCAAGACAAAGCTTAAGGTCCTGCTGAGGTCTGCTAGGGGTATACACAGCCACAGGGACACAAAGTGGACCATCGGTGACCAAGAGCCAGGGAGGGATGGGGAACACAGAGAAAATCACGTTCGCTCTCTCAGCAACTGTTCTTGCTGGGGATGGAGATACAGTCCCAAAGAGTGCTCTGTAGACACTGGCCCTGTCACTTCATAAGAGGGAGTGGTTCCCAAGAGAACAGTGTTTTGTGGGAGCAATCCAGCTTGGAATAGGGGAAGCTAGATAAGTCTCCTGGGGAAAGTAGAACTTAACCCAAGACCCAAAGGGCAAGCAGGTGTTGGCTGGGTGAAGGGAGAAAGGAAGAGTGTTCCTGGCAGAGGGAACGGGATGTGTCAAGACTCCAGGTGAGGAATAACAAGCTAAGCAGCACCACTGGACCCCAGAGTGAGGCCAGCTGTGGTGCAAACTGAAGCTGAAGGGAGGGGGTGGGCACCACGCAGGACCATGCAGCTGTGCTCAAACTTTGGTTTAGTCCTAAGGGCAGTGGGTAGCCATGGAGGAAGGGATTTTAACTCCATTGATGACAAAGTTAGATTTGGGTCTGGAAAGGTCTGGACTAGGGAGAGGCCACTCCTGCAAGCCAGGAGCAGTACTGGAGTTAGGGTTATGTCAGTGTGGGTGAGGTGATATCAGAGAGGGCTTCCTAGAGGAGGTGGCCTGTGAAGTAGGAAAGGTAAGAGGAAACCAGCACAAGTCCCTGAACCTGAGAGAGGGAAAGGGGCCTGACCCTAGTCCACCTTAGCTTTCCTTACCCACCTCCCACTCACCGTGAATGGTCACCTGGTAGATCCTGCGGGCCTCACCCATCTCATTGCTCACCACACATTCAAACTGGCCGGAGTCCTGGGGACTGGGGTCTGTGAGGAGCAGGGCATTGGAAGGCAGGAGCCTGGGACAGATGGGCAGATGGTTGGCTGCTGAGTGAATGGCTGGACTGAACTGATACAAGAGAGCATGGCCTCCATGGGCGGATGTGGGAGTCTCATGACCATTTTTCCCTGCATCTAGACCCTGGCCCTGACTCTACAAGTTTCTTCTAGAAGTTTCTACCCCAAAAGATCAGCAGTAGCTAACTCTGGCTACTGGGATTGTGGGTAACTTTTGTTTTCATCTGTGTTTCTCTCTAACCCTGCATGCTTTCTACAACTGTCTATGATAAACTTCTATAATAACACAGTCAAATCTCTGATCACAACAGTTCCTGTTTGTTGAGCACCTGCTTCAGCCCCAGCACCTAACCCAAGAAAACATTTGCTGAGCTGATTTGTGAATCAGCTTCTTTAATTCTCCCAAAGATTATTTCACAAGCAGCTGCACTTGAGGAAGTGGGGAGACTGAAGAGCCCACAGAAGTCATGTGTCCAGGATTTGAACAAATTGTAACTGCCAGCTTTTTAAAGGCCATTCAGTTTTCTCTATGTCCCAAATGTTCCCATTCACTGCCAGTTGTTCATCTTAGTAAAATGACCCTCCTGGCCCCAAGGTCAGTGATGTATGTGCTGGTCCTGGCTTTGGTAAATGACCCCATTGGCACAGTTGTGAAAGCATTTGGCTACTAGCTGAAAGGTTGGCAGTTTGAACCCCCCAGCCACTCCATGGGAGAACTATGTGGCAGTCTGTTTCTGTAAAGATCACCAGCCTTGGCAACCCAATGAGGCAGTTCTACTCTATACTGTAGGGTTGACTTTGATAGCAATAGGTGTGGTGTTTTGGCTTTGGTAAGACCACAAGTATGTCCCTGCCTCCATTTCAGACCAGGCTCCTCCTCAGTGAGACGGGCATACCCTTCCCCTCTCATGCATCATCTGGAGCTACTGGAGGGACCAGCTTGTTACCAGTAGGTGTCCCGCTGCAGGCGGAAGTCCAGCTTCTGTCCATCCTTCCGCCAGACCACGAGGGGTTTGGGGGAGCCGCTGGCCTCACAAGGCAATGAGGCCTGGGTATGGGCAGTCAGGGTCAAGTTGAAGGGGCCAGGGGTGATGGCTGGAGGCTCTGGAGAGAGGGCAGTCATCAGGAAACAGGGTGCAGAAGGGGACAGGGGAAAGGAGCACTGGATACTACCCTCAACCCATCCCTAGGGAAGAAAGAGTGGGCCGGAGGGAAAACTTCCAACAGGCTCCTGAAGCTGGGGGGTCTGGGGTCTTTCCTCATCTTTGAGGCTGGTATCCCCCAAGTCATCTCTCCTTGAACAAGGCCTCCAGGGCTCCACTGGTCCCATCAGCCACTGAGGCCAGGGACCCCCAGAGTGGCTTCAATGAAGAAGTCCATGGAGTGAGGAGATTAGAGCATAAATTACAGTGCTGTTTGGTCTCATCCTTTCAAATTTTCATTTTCTGTGCATGCCTATCACACACTTCACGTAATAGTACATGTATGCATAGTACACACATGAAAATTAACATGTGTACTTTGTGCATGCTCAACATTTCTTACTACTGAGCTTCATGATTGAAAATATTTAGAAAGCACAGCTCCTGGCTCTGCACGTCTGGGGTGGCCAAGCAGGACACAGCCTAGACAGGGGGCTGGGTGCTGAATGCAGGCAACAGACTCTTCCTCAGCTACCTACCAAAGACCTGGAGGTCACGGCCTTGCCGATCGGAGCCGGCAGAGTTGGACGCTAGGCAAAGGTAGTGGCCAGCATCCTGGGCCAGGACCGGCTGGATCTTCAGGGAACCCTCAGGCAGAACCTCAAATCTGGAAAAGAGGGAGGGATTACCATGGAAACCAGTAGGCCCAGCAAAACCCTCCTCCTCACCCCCAGTTATCCCAGCAAGAGAGTGTAACTCAGCAGTCAGAGTCCTGAATCCAGGAGGCCAAGGTCATAGAGTCACAGTCATGGGACAGCTCTCCACACCCCAAGCCAGCATTAGAAGGGACAAGGGTTGCTGCTTAGGGCCCCCATTGCTCCTGCCTGGACCCAGCCTCTCCCAGAGTCTCTTCCTGAGAATGACTCCTGGATCTGAGAACTATTCCTTCCCAAAGGGCAGGCCCACAGCCAGGTCTGTACTGTGTTATCCTACTTCTGGTCACTGTTGACTGGGTTGGGGATAAAATTTTCACTCAGCCTGGGCCAATGGAATTCTGTGCCCTGGAAATTTAGAACTAGAATTTGCATGTTGAGTGAAGTGAGGAACTCTGAACTTGGAGGACATCTTTGCCACATGCATAGAGAAAGAAGGTGTGTAACTGGTCTAAGAGACATGATGCCCACCCTGAAACATGCACACGTGCGCGCGCATGTGCACACACATACACACACACAAAGAAGCAGACAGTAGCATCTCAATACTTAGTGAGTGGTCATGCCTATCTTTAGGTTCTGAGAAATAGCATATATTCTGATGATAAAGTCAATGTTCTGCTACCATTGCCCAAGTGGGTTTTTGATTACAGCCCTAGAGTGGCACCCGAGACCCTCCCCAGTGCCCTTCCTCTTCCAGCTCCCACCTCGGATTCTCAGGGTCCAGGGGGACCCCATCCTTCTGCCAGCTCACAAGGGGCTGGGGGACTCCGTCAGCCTGGCAGGCCAGCAGGGCTGTCTGGTTTGCTGAGGCATTCACTGTGGGCGGCCCCGGCTGGATAATGGGTGTTGCTGGAGGAGAAGCACAGGAAACAGGTGGTGGGAGGCTGCAAGGGATCTGAGTGGTGGGGAGGGCAGGCTGGACAGAGGCAGGGCGCACTCACTGTGGACGTCCACGTGGAAGGCCAGGCTGGTGCTGCCTGCGGCATTGCGCGCAGTGCAGCTGTAGTTACCACTGTCGGCTGTGCTCAGGGCTTGCAACTGGAGGAACCTGCCCTGCTCCAGGAACTGTGTGTGGGCATCTGCCTGCAGAACCCCATGGGGCAGAGAGACCCTCATCAGCTCCGTGCCAAGCCCAATGCCCCTCTGCCAATGACAGGCAAAGACTGAGGAACCAGAGAAGCCAACAGTGGCCTCTGCCCCATTCTGAGCTGGCCTGCAGCCCCTGACTCAGTGCTAAGAAGGCCCTGGGGAAAGGGGCTGCTCTGGGAGGGAATGACCACCTTGTCCTGGAGCTCTGCTGCCTGGGGTGCTGCAGAGAGGACTCGTGCCATATATGGGGTTGGAGCTCCCGATGCAAGGCCCTATGGTTCTTGGGTCCACAACTGCAAACTGGCTCTTCTGGAGGGAAGAGCTCAAAAGACTCAGTAACTGGCCCAAGTCACACAGCCACTAAGTGCAGCCGGAAGATGCAATGGGAAGAAGCCCTATGGAAATCCCAACCTTGCCACAATATTCCCATTCATGAAATGGAGACGACAAAAATAATGGGGGTTGGAGAATGCAGGTAGGAGAGCAATCTGCAAAGTGTGCCCTCAGCACCCTGGATCTTGTCTAGTCAGGGTCTGGGGCCTAAGAGGGAAAGAAGGCAGAGTCCCTGGGTCCCCAGCCTGGCACCCACCTGCAACAGGACACCATCTCGGTGCCACTCAATCTCAGGTGCTGGCTCTGCCTCCACCGAGCATTCCAGGACCAGCTGTCCTGGGGCCAGACCAACCACAGAGCGGTAACCTCGAGGTCCAACAACACTTGGAGGGGCTGGGCAGGAGCAGAGAGAACATGATAGATGGAGTCACCCCTGTTGTGTTCTGCCTCCCATCTCTGAGCCCAACCTCCCAGCACCCCCTACCTTGAACTCTGACTTGGAAGCTCTTCTCAACTTCACCAGCAGGGCTCTTGGCCAAGCAAGTGTATAGGCCAGCATCGCCCACCTGGAGACAGGATGGAGTGAGCATCTGTCTCTGGCCCCTGCCTGCCTATTTTCTGACCTGGTTTCCTTCCTACACATGGCTGCTGACTCCCCCATACTGCTGCCCCAGCCAATCCAGTCCTCCTCTGTGGAATGTTCCTTCTCTATCCCCATCTCACTCTTGCTTCAGGGGCTAGAGTAAGGTCTGCCTCTTCCAGAAAGTCCTCCCTGACTATCCCAGCCCTCCTCTGCCCCTGGGACTCCCTGGATGGAGAGTTATCTGATTTGTGCATCAGCCTTGGCTCTAGCCTGGCTCGAGGTCCCCAAGGGTAAGGGTCACGTAGGTTGTTGCCACATTCTCTTATCTTGCACAGGGCTTGGCACAAAGGAGGCCCCTTCCCCTCCCTCCAGACTCGTCCTACAGCAGGCACCTGTATACCCTCGACCCGGAGCACCCGCCAGGCTGTGTTGATGTTCTCTGGCCTGCTCAGGGCCTTCCCATCCTTATGCCAGGTGATGTTGAGTTGGGGACTGCCCTGGGCATCACAGAGGAGCTCCAAGGGAGTGCCAGGGGTCAGCAACAGCTCTGCAGTCTGGTCTGAGTCCTCGATGTAGGGGGGCTCTGCAGGAAATGCCCCCACCCCAGTCAGCAGTGAGGGCCACACCAGGGGGTTAGCAGCCAGCACTTATCTTCCCACCCACCAGGAGGTGACAGCAGATGGGGCCACAAACAGGCAGGTGAGGGGTCTGTTGGAGGTTACTGAAAACATCAGAACTGGCATGTTTGCTAGTTTTCCAGAAACAGCACTGATTCTCTGATGGCCTAATAAACAAAATAACCTTTGGAAAGAGCATTAGGACCCAGAGGCCCAAGATATAGCCTAAGATTAGGACCAAAGGACACCAAGAGTATAGTCTAAGATTCCAGGGAGGTCTGCCTTGAGAAAAACAGGACCAACCTGGTGTTGGGGAGCTCTGGTAGCATAGTGCCTAAGGCACTTGACTGCTAACCAGAAGGCTGGCAGTTCTAACCCACCAGTAACTCCTCGGAAGGAAGGCTGAGCAATCTACTTCCGTAGTGATATCGCCTTGGAAACCTGAGGAGGGGTTGCTATGAGTCAGGTCTGACTCAACGGCACACGTAACAACAACACCTGGTGTTGATGCCTTCCAGAGCTGAAGAGAAAATTACAGTCATAACTAAGCAGGCTTCTTTGTCCTTTTTCATGGATCAAAGGACTCCATCCTTGGGAAATGGAATGTATATACATGACTATAAGCTTTAGCTCAACATAGAAAACTTCTGTTTACCCACCAGGGTTGGACAGACACTTAGAGTACCCTGAAACTGTCCGTTCCCTGCTTACGCATAAGTGATTAAGTTTTTTCTTCTCTCAGTGTGAATGAATTGACTCTGTGTCGCTCTGGGCCATGAGCTCACATGTTGGGTATGGTGAGTGACAACTGTTGTTGCCGTCAAGTTGTCTCTGATTCATAGCGACCCCTCCTTGGGTTTCCTAGGCAGTATCACTACGGAAGCAGATTGCCCAATCTTCCTTCCGAGGAGTGGCTGGTGGGTTTGAACCGCCAATCTTCTGGTTAGCACTCAAGTGCCTTAGGCACTATGACACCAGAGCTCCTTAGTGGTGGTATAAAACCAACAAGGACACAGTATGAAGGGAAAGTACAATTTACACAAAGTTTTCCAGCATAGCACAAAACCAAAAACCAAACTAAACTCACTGCTGTGGAGTCGAATCCAACTCACAGCAACCCTTCCTTGGGTTTCTGAGGCAGAATCACTACAGAAGTAGATTGCCCAACCTTCCTTCCGAGGAGTGCCTGGTGAGTTTGAACCTCCAGCCCTCTGGTTAGCAGTCAGGTGCCTTAGGCACTATGCCACCAGAGCTCCTTCACTCATAAAATTTTGTGCTTGAACTTTAGGACTCTGTCCCCAGATTCTGGTGGCTCTTGTTCCTGCTTCTGCCATCAAGATCTAGTGGACAAGACTGAGGCTTGCAGCCCTGAGAGAATCAAACATCCCAGCTGCCCACATCCCTCTGGACAATGTCAGTGACCCATAAGGACCAGGCCCATTTCCTAAGCCCTGGTTCCAGGAGGCAGCCCAAGCCTCTGGGGCCTCACCTCCCTCCGCATCTTCTCCATCATGCCCCAGAGTCCCGCCCTCTCCTCACTGGCAGATGACCCACCCATCACTGTCAGCTGGAAATGCCTCCTCGCTTCCCCTGCCTCACTCATGGCCACGCAGGAATATGTCCCCGAGTCACCAGTCCTGGCTATCTCCAGTCGCAGGCCAGGCCCCTGCTCAAGGCTCTGGGGAAACAAGGGCTCCCCATCCTTCATCCATGATATGAGAGGCAGAGGGCTGCCCCGGGCTTCGCAGGGGAGGACCACCGAGGAGCCACGAACCACCATCACGTCTTTCTGGAACTCCACTGGCTCCAGGACAGGGGGCACTATGGAGGCAAAGGGATGGGCAGGGGTCATTTTATTCCATGCCAGGCTGCCCTCACCTCTGTATTCTTGCACAGACTGCTCCTATTGGCTACAAAGCCTGTCTCTCAGACAATTCCTTATCATCTTCAATTCTGGGCTTAGCTCTTGGTTCCTCCAGGAAGCCTGCCCTGAATTTCTGAGGCCAGTGAGTGCCCTCCTCTGTACTCCCACAGCATCCTCTGACCAGTTGCCATGGAGTCGACTCAGACTCATGGCAACCTCTAGTGTGTCAGAGTAGAACTGTGACCCACAGGGTTTTCAATCACTGATGTTTTACAAGTAGATCTCCGGGCCTTCTCCTGAGGTACCCCTGAGTAGAATCCAAGCTTCAACCTTCTTTTAGCAACCAAGCACTTTAACCATTTACACCACCTGGGCACTCAGCATCCTCTACCTCCCCTAGAACTGCAATTGTCTCTTTACAGAGCTGCTTTCCACACTGACCTCTTGTGAGCAGGGGCCACCCCTGCTCATAGCTGCATCCCATGCCTGGCAGGTCCCATGCTTACCAGAGCATCCAACAACTATTTGTGAGATGAATGGATGAGCAACTGAATCCATCAAAGACTGAATTGCTGTGTTGGACCTGCCTTGGTACGCATGAGGGCTGACCCTTTCTTCCACTCTTCCTTTCCATGAGCAAGAAAGGGTCTTCATTCTCACCCATCAAGGCCATAGAACCTGCATACACTACCCCCTGCTCCATACCGTGCACCTGCAAGGTGAAGTTCCTGTTGGCCACGCCCGCCGGGCTTGCAGCTATGCAGGTGAAGATGCCAGAATCTGCCAGCTGCACCTGGGAAATCCTGACCACCCAAGAGGAGAGACAGAGAGGTAGGCTCAGTGGACATGCCTTAACATATGAGCCTGAACAAGTCCAGCTCTGCTTAATCCCCTTCCCTGGCTCCCCAGTGCCTCCACCGTAAAGCCCCAAACTCTTCCCCCAGGGCCTGGTCCTGCTGCCATTTTTACTCCACCAGGCTCCACTGTTGTTGTTATTTGCCATCGAGTCGGCCCTGACTCATAGCGACCCCTCCTTGGGTTTCTGAGGCTGGTAGCATAGTGGCTAAGGCACTTGACTGCTAACCAGAAGGCTGGCGGTTCAAACCCACCAGCCACTCCCCGGAAGGAAGATGGGGCAATCTACTTCTGTAGTGATACTGCCTCGGAAACCCAAGGAGGGGTCACTATGAGTCGGGTCTGACTCGACGGCACATAACAACAACAACAACAACAACAGGCTCCACAGCCAGACTTCCTGCTTCCCAAATTCTGGAAGCCCCTCTGGTCTCTAGGCCTCCTCTGATCCTGCCATGAGGACAGCATGCCTCTTTACCTTTAGGACTCTACCAGAGCTGTCTCCATTTTCTGTCCTCCTGCTTTCTCCAGAATCCATTCCAATCAGGCTCTTGCCCTAACCACTCCTCCAAACTTCTCTTGCCAAGGTCACGACTAACTGCTACATTGCAAAGTCCATGGTCAATTCTCAAGCCTTGTGTCATTTGATCCATTGGTCTCTCCTCCCCTCAACCACTGTCTCCATGTGGCTCCCATGACGGCCCTCCCTCTTCCATCTCCTCCTACTCTCTTGTTCCTGCTCCACCTTCTTCCTTGGCCCTTCTCTCTTTAGATCTGCCCTAAACTGGTGGCCAGGGCTTCAGTCCACCCTCGTCCTGGGGGGTTACAGCCAGTCCCAGCTATAATACTACCTGTTTGCTGACAATCGTCCAAGTCCCCTGACAGTTGGCAGGGGATTAGCCAACTGACTGCTTGTACCTCTTGTCTCAGAGCCTCTCAAACTATTGGCCAGAAAGCCCTTCCAAGAGCCTCTCAAACATGTGTTTTCAAACTGATCTCTAAGCCGTTCCCCTCTCAGCCTGCTCCTCCCCCTGTGGACCCATCTCAGAAAAGGGGAACCTCAACTTCCCAGCTCCCCAGGAGAAAAACTTTGGGGTCATCCTTGAATCTTCTCTCACTCTCAGCTCTTCACAAATCCTTCCCCTGGGCCCAGGCCACATCCTGCCTCACCTGGATGGTTGCAACAGCCCCTAACTGCCCCACCCCCTGCTTCTGCCTTTGCCCCACAGTCTGTAGTCCATGTATCAGTCAGAAAGGTCCTTGAAGAACCCAAGTCAGATCGTGGAGCTCCTATGCTGCAAACCCCCACGGCTTGCCATCTTTCCTAAGGAAAACCCACAAGTCTTCCCAGGGGCTTGCCAGGTCCTACGGCCTCTGGCCTCCCTGCCCCACTCTCCCCTACCCTCACTGTGCTCCCTGAACATACTGGGAGCACTCCACCACACGGCTTTTATGCATTGTTTGCTCTGTCTGGACACTCTTCTCTCCTGAATCCACTCGCTTCCTTCTTTCACCTCCAGGTCTCACCTCAAGAATGCCACTCTAAAATAGCACCCCCACTTCCACTCTCCATCCCTTCACTCTACTTTATTCTTCTTGAGAGCATGTATTCTCCCTGATGATTCATTCCTACAACCGTTTATTTTACATACACACCTTACAAGGGTAAGGACTTTGTCTCGCTTACCGCTCTATCCTTGTGTCTAGAACACACTAACCACTCCGTAAGTGTCCTTGAATGCATGAAGACTTTACTCAGGCACCTTCTTTTAGGAAGCCTTCCCTAATTTCTTCTACCCTAGGGCCAGGCTGAGTTGAGTTTCTGAGTGTCATCACTGGATTCTGTGTTTGTCTCCCCCACTGGATTGTGTGAGTGCCCAAGGGTGGAGACCCCTCCATCTCTGAGCCCTAGTGAAATGTCTTTTGGGGCTAGGTTCTCTCACTCTCCCCATCATAAGCTTCTGTCTATATTATTTTTCTTTCAAAAATCTTTCAGATACGTTGACCACCCAAGCTGCCTGTAAGGTGCTACTGAGTCTGTGACCAGCTGGCCATCCAGGATGGGCAGACGCTCCTCTACCTGAGGGTACGCCCAGAGCCGTGGAGGTGTGTGCGCTGGGACAGCGGGAGGGGCAGGCCATCCTTGAGCCAGCTCACGTGGATGGGTGGGGAGCCCCGGACGGGGCACGCCATGGTCACCAGCTCTCCATGCCTGCTCACCAGGGTCCCAGTACTGCCTGCTCCCTGCTCGATGGTGGGAGGGACTGGAGGCAGGCAGAGAGGACAGAAAAGGAACAGTGAGGGGATCTGGGGTGCAAGTGGCCTCCTCCAGGGACGTTCCGGGAGATGGTGCCCATACTTGGAATTCTGCCGTAAGTAAGCATTGTGGTTGGGGATTCTTAGAGCCATATATACCCTACGTGAGGAATGAGGGCCCATGGGGGGTGGAGTGGCAGCCTCACCCGGTAGCTCTCCTTCCATCTGTTTATCCCTTACCTTTCCCTATGTGACCCATAGGGCTAGAGTGGTTGTGTCTCTAGTTTGTAGATAAGGGACAGGGGGACAAAGAGGTCTGCCCAGCAGGTTGCACAGTGCAAGCAGAGCTGAGCCTGGAAGCCAGGTCTCTCACAGCCCAGTTCAGCTCTTGCCCTCCCAGATGCTCCCACTGGAAGCTCCTAAGTTGGCCCAGGATGGTGGGGTTGCCCACTTAGCATGGGCCCCCAGGTTTCCTCACCCAGGACATTCACAGTGTGCAGCCTGGCGTCCTCCCCGGCGGGGCTATGGGCCACACAGGTGTAGGCGCCGGAGTCCGAGGCCCTCAGGCCCTTCAGCACCAGGGAGCTGCCATCCTGGTAGAACCTGCCGCAGAGAGAGAGAAAAAGGCAGGTGTGTGAGGATCTGGGGGCCCTGCTGCCTGCAGTGGGCGGGGAGGGCATAGGCTGAGCCTTACCGGAGGTGGGGGCCCATGCTCTGTTCCACTGGGCCACCATCCTTCAGCCAGGTCACAACTGGTGGTGGCTGCCCTTCAGCCTCACAGTGCAGCTGCACCTCCTGCCCCTCCAAAACGCTATGCTCCTGTGTGCTGCCCGAGCTCCGGATCCAGGGGGCCACTGTGGCAGGGGGGCTGTGGGTGAGGCCTGGGACGGTGGTAGGGACAGGCATGGGATGGGGCCCAGGAAGGTGGACACAGGACTAAGACATACCCAGCACAGTCACCAGGAAGTCCTTGCGGGCCTCAGCTTCAGGATTCTCAGCCACGCATGTGTAGGTGCCACCCTGGGCTGGCTGCAGGCGACTAAGCTGGAGGCGGCCCCCACGGGTGACCACGCCCTGGGCCACATTGCTTTCTACGAGGAGGAAGGACATGCCAGGCCTTCACCTCTATGTCACCCACCATCTCATGTGCCACCACTGGGCCCAGACACAGAAGTCACGTGGCTCCCTGACAGGGCCCGCAGCACCCATACTCACAAAGCCAGAAAGACCCCTGAGAACCTTTGACTCACCCACTGTTTGTAGACTCATAGGGAAATGAGGCCCAGTCTAGGGTAGGTTTCCTCCCTATATATCACAAGCTTCCGTAGCCTGTGCCCTTTGATTGCTCTGTTCCTTCAAATCCCATTCTATTTCCTTCCACTGAGGACCCTTCTTCCCAAGGAATTCAATTCCCGTTAGTGTCCAAGAAGACTTACACTTCTTCCTGTCAACTCTTGAGTCCCCAGGCTCCCATTGTCCCTTCAACTCCACCTCTGTAACCCCTCTTCTACTTACCTAGGTGGAATAGCCACTTGCTGGCCCTGACACAGGCAGGTCACACTCAGGCCTCCTCCAGGTCCAGGCTGCATCCCCACCTCCAGCCCAGGAGGCCCTCTTCTTCATTCTCTCCTCTGCCCAAGGCCTTTTCTAACTGCACCAACCCAGGTTGCCCCCCGCCCTCCAGCTTTCAACACAAAATTTATTGAGCACCTACTATACATCCCAACCTTGAGCTTGGGCATCAAAAATGCGTAAGATACATACTATCCCTGTCCTTAGGGAATTCAAAATGTATCAGGGGAGACAGACAGTGAACAAGCACAGTCTAGTGGGAGAAGCCCTGTGAAGCCCCTAATGGAGTCCAGGGGTCTTGGGGGGTGATCAGGAAGGACTTCAGAGGAGGTTAAGTCTCAGTTGAGAACTGAAAGTGAATAGGACTTAGCCTGTGACAGTGGAGGTGATCAGAGTCAGGGTGGGTATTCCAGCCAGGGGAACAGCATGTGCAGAAGTCCAGAAGCGAGAGAACAGGTACCCAGCAGTTCCACTCCCAGGTACACGTCTACTCCTCTCTTATCGACTCTCTCGTTACCTGACATTTCACATTTACTACACCTCGGGAAAAACCCTCAAGCTGCACCTCCGATGGTCCAGGCCCCACACTGGGCTGTGGCCAGGCCTGGGACACCCTGCATGGGACACTCCAAATGATATACCAGAGGCCCCAGCAATGACCGGGCCACATGGGGGCAGTAGCTGACCAACCACAGGATGCCTTTTCTCACTCTTCCGTGACATCATAGTATGGCCGTGGAGGCCACAAGGTTGGAGGTGGGCAGGATGAGGACGAGCGAGGGCATGAAGCTGCCGGGGAAGGTGGCGGGAGTAGGAGAAACAAGAGACAGGAAAGGGGGCTGGCTGCGTGGGGCTGTGGGGTCAGGGTGGATGAAGGATGAGCAAGGTGCCCACTCAGAGAGGGCAGCAGAGGGAGGCAATAGGCAGTGGGTGGCAGGCTATGTGTGTGTGTGTGTATGGGGGGAGGAGGTGTGGTGGAGAAGAGGGACCTGCGGCACCAAAAATACTTTGAGACACACCCAACAGGTGGTGAATGACTGGGGATGGGCTGCCAAAGATGGGGCATGGCCCTGACTCTTACACGATGACAATTTTGCACAACGACCTGGTCTTTGGAACTTAACCATGTGATAAGCAAGGAGTGGGCATACACTCAAGAGAACTCAAAACATGTGTCTACGCAGAAACCTGCACATGCATGTTCATGGCAGCATTACTCATAAAAGTCAAGAAGTGGACACAACCTAAATGCTCATGAATAATGAATGAATGGATGAAGTGTGGTATAGCCACAACATGATAGTATTCAGCAGTAAAAGGAATGAAGTTCTGATAAATGCTACAATGTGGATGAACCTTGAAAATATCATGCTGAGTGTAAGATGTCAGTCACAAAAGGTCACATGTTATATGGTTGCATTTACACAGGTTGCCCAGATAGGTAAATCCATAGAGACAGACCGTAGATTGGTGGCTGCCTAGAGCTGGGAGATTTGGGGGAAATGAGAAGTGGCAGCTAAAAGGTATGAGGTGTGTTTTGGGGGTAGTAAAATTTTCTTAGGAGCTGTGGTAGCACAGTGCCTAAGGCATTTGACTACTAACCAGAAGGCTGGCAGTTCAAACCCACCAACAACTCCTCGGAAGAAAGGTTGGGCAATCTACTTCCATAGTGATACCACCTCGGAAACCCAAGGAGGGGTCGTTATGAGTCAGGTCTGACTTGATGGCACATAACAACAACAACAACAACAAAAATGTTCTTAAATTAATTGTAGTGGCAGTTGCACAACTTTGTGAAAATATTAAAAACTATTTAATTATATACTTTAAATGAGTGATTAGATGACATGTGAATTTTATGTCAATAAAGCTGTTATGTAAAATACACACACACACACACACACAGAGAACACAGAGTGTGTGCAAGGATCCAGGAGCAGCTGGGGAGCATGGGTGGGGAGAGAAGGGCTGGCCATGCAGGGCCCCTTGGGCAGGAATTTTAAGGGGTAGAGCAATGAAAGGATGGTAAACAGACAGAAGACTTGCTCCAAGCTGCCCTTTCAGATTCCTTTGCCACTGTGTGGTACCTGGATTGGAGGACATGAGAGTGGGACCAGGAGACCAGTATGGGGCTACTGGCTTCACTGGGCATAGAGAGGGGTATGGTGGTGGTTGGAATAGGAGGAGGCCATGGGGTGGAGAGCGGGAACCAGAAGTGCTTAGTGGCTGACAGGACAAGGGATCCACTGACCAACTGATGGTGGATGGGGAGAGCAGAAAGAGGGCAGGACAAGGGCAAAGGTCTGGATGGGGCTGGTGACCAATAGTGGAATCTAGACAGAGCTGTCACTAGGGGAAGAGCAACTTCTGGGGCAAGCTGGTGTCAGGCCCCTAGCACCTGCCCTGTGCGACGCAGGGCCAATGTCTTGTGTCTCCTGAGAGCCAACTGAAGGCCCAGGGAGCCCACAGGAGTAGTTTCAGATGAATGTTTGGATTTCAAGGGCCAATAACATTAAAAGACAAAGTGGTGGTGAGACCCACCCTGTGCTGCCAGTCTTTTATTCTGCCAAGAACATTCAACAAGCAACAACTTTCTATATTTTTCCTGTCCTTCCATTAAATAAAGGGATATTTTACAGTAAAAAGAGAAGGAGGGCATGGCATACTCACCCACAGGCATTCTGTCTTTCAGCCATGTAACAGTGGGTGCAGGGACCCCAGTCACATCACAGGTCAGGACGAGGGGGTTCCCAGCCACTTGGCTCACTGTCTCCATCTTGGGGTTCTCAAATGTTGGGGGTACTGCAGGAAAGAAGTCCAATCCCCAGAATCGTGACAACCTTCCCCTATTGTGCTTCCTTTAAGACAGATCAGTATGCCTAAGGAACCCTTTCTTGTAGCCAGGAGTTCGATTTTTATGCTTCACTGTTGATGAAGACATGGCTTGTTTTATTCACAAATGCATATAGGACCGGTAGCTGGCTGTTTACAAAGCAGAGCCCAGGAGGAGTCCACTTAGACCAAGGATGGTCAAGGCACAGCTAATGCACCAGCAGTCCTTATCCTATTCCAGGACAGACATCACTAATCAATCCCAACACTCTCTCCTACTTAGATGAGATGTAACCATGCACACCTCAGATAGCCACTATCAGTGGAACAGAGTTGGCTGGGCTCAAGATGAAAAGTCTATATCTTAGAGACAAGATATTCCCCATTTCCCACCATTTTTCAAAGTAGCTATCAGGAGAAGGGGTTGTGGTCTTTGCTAGTAAGCAGCAAGCATGATACAGTCATTTCTAACAATGTCATTCAATCTGGCTCAGGGCCAGATTCATCCACTGCTCATCTAGTAAAGAGGCTGCTGGTTTTCCTATGTGTGACAGACAGCTGGTGTCCCCCAACCTGCTCTTCTCATCTTCCACAGCAGAGTTTTAGTTGAGCAGATGGTTGCTCAAGTTGATACTACATTTCTCAGTCTCCTTTGCAGCCAATGGAATGTGAGCAGAACTGACGATACATTTCTGTATCACTTGCTTAAGATAAAAATGCTTGCCCTTCATTGATGTTCTTTTCTGCTTCCTACAGGCTGGGATAGAATGTGACATGTCCCAGTTTCAGCCACATGGACAAGGATAACACCCTAGTGGACAAGGAATCAACAAGATTGAAGGAACCTGGGCCCCTACATCACTACATGGAGCTGAGATACCTGATCAGTCTAGACACACATCTCTGGGCTTTTAGAGGAGAAGTAAATTTCTCTCTCATTTAATCCACTGTATTTTGTGTGTCTAACTCTTTGTTACACACAGGTCTATACTCTAACTGACACAACATCTGACCCCAAGAGAATCTGCCTAGATCTCTATCTCTTGTTTCCCTAGACAGCTCAAAGAGGCTCCCTCTCCCCCAACTTCAAGCCACATATCCAATCAAATGCCATCCACATTCCATCCTTGGACTGATGGGATGGTCTCCTTAAGCTTCAGGAGTGGAATTGACATGGACCCAGACCTCCTGAGTTTCTGTTCTCTGAGGGCTTCTTTGTCCAGTGCCCAGTTGCCACTCCAGGCCCTGTGGCCAGTACTTTATAGAGACAGAGTCATGGTGGTCCCATCAGATCAAGTGCTTCCTACATACCCAGCAGGCATAGGCTACTTTTAGCTCCCCCTTCACTGAAGAGAAACCTGAGGCTCAGAGGGGCAAAGTGATACCACTAAGTCCCAAAAAGCAAGTTGGTGGAATAGTCCTTTCAATCCTAGAGCTCACACCATTAACCACTGTCACCCCTCCTTACAACTACTGCCTTCCTCATCCTTGGTAGTCCCTGTGTAACTCGGGGTCCCATGGCAATGCTAGCAAGGCTGGCCCCTCATGCTAAACGTCCAGCTTACCCTGGATGGTGAGGATGAAGGTCCGCATGGCCTCCCCAGCCACATTGCTGACTTTACAGCTGTATAAACCTTTATCTGACACCTGGGACAGAGAGAGTGCATGGTGAGGATGTGCATGGGGGGACCCAGTGGGTTGCAAAGGGCTCCTCCCAAAACATCCAGGCCCCAGAAACTTCAAGAGTAGGAACTCCCTAAATAGGCTGGTTCTGCCTAAGAAGCCAAAGGGAAATGGGACCTTCTGGTCTTTTCTAAGAGGCTTGAGGAATAGGGGGAAGTGCTGGAGGTAGGCAGGTGCCTCTGCACACAGACTGCAGATTTCTGGTCTCCCCTGGGCCTGTACATCAGTCAAACCCAGGAAAAAGTCCCCTCACTGGAGGCATGGAGCTGGGCCAGGAAAGGGGGGCCCAGAATGGATTTCTAGAAGGCCAGCAGATATTCATCCAACAAACATTTCAGTGCATCTAATTCACACAGGGAAGGAAGACAGAACAGATTCCCAGAAATTCCCAGACTGTCATAACCATAGGGAACTGAGACAGGGAACTGCTCAAGGTCACTCCGTGGGTCAGTGTAGAGCAGGCCTAGAACCCGTGTCTGTGGAGCCCTGTGCCCTCCTCATGTCTCTCCCTAGGTTTGGGATCTTATAGGCTGAGAAGGTAGCAGCCCCCACACCCTGCCACACACCTGCCCCTGCCCCCCAGGCTCATCAGAGCTGGGAAATGACAGTTCTGCAGCCACCCACAGCCACCCATGCCTCCCAGGCTGCTCACCTGGGTGTCCAGGATCTCCAGCCTCTGCCCACCCAGCAGAGCCTGGGTCCGTTGTGCTGGGACCATGGGCTGCCCATCTTTGTACCAGGTGACAGCAGGCTTGGGGAGTGAGTCTGTCTCACAGTTCAGGACAGCTTTGTCCCCAGCCCGGACCAGGATTGTGTCCTGGGGGCCGCTGGGAGCCTGCCTAAAGGTGGGAGGAACTGAGAGCAGGAGATGAAGCAGAGTGAGGTGCTGCTCCGAGGTCTCCCTGGCTGCAGTCACAGGACAATAGTCTATGGAGGCCCACAAGGGTCAGACAGAGGACCTGACCCCAGGGGGTTAGAGCAGACAGAGGGGAATCAGAGTAAGTGAACCCAGGCCAGTCACGCATGGACATGCTGGGTGACCTGGGAAAGGCCCCCGACTTCTCTGTGCCTCAGCCTCCTGCATGGGGAGAGATACTCTGATGGTTCTCTGGGCTCTTTTATCTGGATTAGAGCCCTCCACAGGGGTCTAGAGGTCTCCACAGGTCCAGAGCCTCCTGTCCCTCCAGCAAATCAATTCCTCCCATTGTACAGTAATTACCAATGTAGAAGCCCCCACCCTCAGCTTCAGCTGGGAGCCCACAGCACCTGGAATGGTGCCGGGAGCATAGTAGGTGAACATGCCAAACAAATGAACAAGTCCCAAGGCTAGAAAGCACTTTCCAAGAGAGTCTTGGCTCATGACACCTTGGACCAGTTTTTCCTAAAAGGATTTCAAAGACAATGAGCCCTGCCAAAGGCTCCATGCCCAGAGATTGGTGACCAAACAAGGCTTGGGAAAGGCTCCTTCCTAGGCCAAGCTCTTGGGGGTTCATCACACTGCTCCTCCTCAACTTCACTGTCATCAGAGCTTACTGTTCACCAGGCCCTGGGCTAAGAGCTGTATATACTATCATTTAATCCTTATACCAGGAGCCACCTTACGAGAAACCTGAGGCTCAGAGAGGGTCTTGTCCTATGCCAGGGAAGACATCCCTAATCAATCCCAACTCCCTTTCCTGTTTAGCTAAGATATAGGCATGCACCTGTTGTTGTTGTTATGTGCTGTCCAGTTGAACCCGACTCATAGCAACCCCTCCTTGGGTTTCCGAGGCAGTATCACTATGGAAGTAGATTGCCCAACCTTCCTTCTGAGGAGTGGCTGGTGGGTTTGAACCACCAGCCTTCTGGTTAGCAGTCAAGTGCCTTAGGCACTATGCTACCAGAGCTCTTGGCATGCACCTAGGCAGCTACTATTAGTAGACCAGAGTTGGCTGAGCTCAACCAAATGCCCCAAGGTCACAGAGCAAGGACACGCACAGCTGAGTTTCAAACCCAAGTCTATCCAACTCGAGTCCATGATCTTAACCACCGTGCAAAACAGTGTCACCTGGGCATCATCCCTGGGAGAGGGTGTGGGGCATCTCAGCCTCACCCAGTGCTGGTTGCCCCTCTCCTGGCTATGCTACCCAAGTGGTTGGCTCAGGGTTCAGGGCTGATTGAAGGAGTAGGGGACAGTGCATGTAGGGGGACAGACAGGAAACATACCCAGCACACTAAGCTGCACCAGCTTCTGGTCTTGGCCAGCAGCATTGAGGGCTTCACACATGTACGTCCCAGAGTCTGATGGCTGTGCTCGTGCCAGCTGCAGTGTGTGGGTGCCTGTGACAGGGAGAACAGCCCTTCATACCAGCAAACCGGCCACAGCCCCAGGCCCACTCCCCTAATCCTAAATCCTTCCCAGATTTATAGTCTGGTCCCAGGTTTGGCAAAGCGATGCTGGGTCTCTATATAGCCTCCAAGCTGGGTGGAAGCCTTGGTTTACCCACCAGGCAGGAGGAAGACCTCTTCACCCAGGGAGAGGGCCTGGCCGTCCTTGTACCATGTGACCTCAGGGCTCGGGTGAGCGTGGACATCACAGGGCAGGGAGATGCTGCCATTGAGGATGGCAGTGACCTTTTCTGAGGTCAGGCCTGTGATTCTTGGTGGGACTGTTCCCACGGGCATTAGGAGAAAGAAAGATACGTGAGAATGCACACCAGCAGTGGGGCACAGAGCCCCTGATACATCCCCTTGGCACGTTTTCAAACAACTCCATGCAGAAGCGTCTACAGATTATAACTATTTTACATATGAGAAGACTGAGGCTTATAGACCAGGGAGGGGGACTTACTTTCCCAAGCCCACACAGCTGGTCAGTGGCAGAGCCAAAATACGAATTTAAGTGTGAGTCCAAGACCTTGAGTGTTCAACATTATCACTGCCCCTCCTACAGCTGCCATCACACCCAGAGGCAGTGTGTGACATGAGAGTGCAGAGGTTAAGGTCACAGACTCTGTGGGTGGTGTAACTCCCCACCTGTGTGACCACTCTGAGTCTGTTTTCACAGCTGGAAAACTGGGCTAATCTCATAGCTCTGCTGGAAGGAATGGCCACAGGGAATGTGCCCAGCACCATGTCAGGTATACAGCAAGTGCTTAATAAGTGCTGTAAGGCCTCAAGAAAGCTGTTTCCTGGTGGCCTCCAAAGCTGTTAAAATCATCTAGGGTTGCCCCAGCAATGGTCAAGGCTGCCCAAGTGCTCTCTGAACCCGGATGTGGCTGGTGCCAGGCTGGGTTCTGAGCCCAGGTTATCAGAAGCATCAAGATGGTGCCCCTGAGCTGGATAAGATGCCATGTCTATACTCCTCTGCCCCAGCCTGGCATGGCTGACACCCAGTGCTGGTCAGTGGCAGAGCCAAAGCCCCACCTCAGCTGGGGACCTGCTTAGCCCAGCTCACCTTGGACCCTGAGGGTAAAGAGCTTCTCTGTGGAGCCTGCCTGATTCTCAGCCACACACATGTAGCTGGCAGCATCAGCTACCTCTGCGGTGGAAACCTGTGCGATACAAGGAGATGGTGCCTGGGAGCTGCCATAGGCCAGACGACTCTGGGCAAAGCCAGAGACTCCTCTGGGCTCCTGAAACCTTCCATCCCCCAGGAACTACTGTGAGGACACTCTCCTACCCACAGCAGACATAATGGGCAGCAAGCAGCTTATGGAGCCCCGGACCAGAACTTAGGAGCACCACTGATGGGTATGGCAGGGTCCAATCCATCTGGTGCATTGTTTGACATCTGCTGCTGGGGAGGGTGATGAGGTTGGTGTTGGGTGCATCTCTGTAGCACATCAGATGTTAACTAGTCCCCCCCAGTCTCATGGAGGGCAGCTCTGTGCTATGCTCGGCTCTAGGGACTACATGCAGTTCTGTGTTCTAGATACTGGGTGGCTGAGAGTGCCAGGTACAGCCTGAGGCCCCAAGGCTGGACACAGCCTTGTAAGTGTCAAACGGCCTTGCTGCAGAAGGTTGCTCTGTGCCACACTGTGCACTTGGGGTAACATGCATATGTGTCCTTTCTAGGTGCCGCCTGGACATCTAGGTGCCACGTGAATGCCTGGACGTCCAGGTGCCGTGTGGAGGCCTGGATGTCTAGGTGCTGTGTGGGGGCCTGTCTTGCACAGCAAGGCTCCTTGTATATCGTTACATGATTATTTGTTGGGCTGAATTAAATCCCAGGTACATTTCAGGCAAAAAGCCTCAAGTGGCATAGAAAATGGCAGCTCCTTGGTTCCCACAAAGAGTCCTGAGATTGCAACAGCTACTGCTTCTAGCACCCACCCAGGGGGCTGCCCTGACCTGCAAGACTTGCCCATCTTCCAGGACCTGCAGCCTCGGGCTTGGGGAGAAAGGCAGCCCGTTCTGGAGCCATGAGATGGTGGGCATGGGGTTGCCCAGGGCCGGGCACTGTAGACTGACAGTGCTGCTGGCGTTGACAGTCACCTCCTCCACCAGCTCCTCTGTGTCGCCCAGAATCACAGGTGGGGCTGGGGGTGGGGGAGAGGAGGATGTGAGCTGGTGGCCTGAAGAACCCTTCCCTGGGGAGAAGGGGGGTATAGAAGCCAGAACAGCAGTAGCACTTGGTACCAGGCTCTGGCTGAGGCTCCTCATGCCTCGTGCACCAAACCCTCCAGCCCCTGATGCAGCTAGGGCATCTGAGGCCCAGAAAGGGCTAGTGATTTCCCCAAGGCCACCCAGCTAGGAAGCAGCTAGCTTCAAAGTTGAACCTAGTTCTATCTGGTTTTAGAGCTCAAGCTCATCATCCCTGGCTTACCAACCTCTGAGTATAGCAAGACTAAAAATGCACTCTACCTCAACTCCCTTCCAGGTGGAGCCCCTGGGGACCTACAGTCCTGAGACCCTGCCCACCTACCCCTACCAGGGGACTCCTCCAGCAGCCCTGCCACCAGGCCCAGCACTCACTCAGCACCAGCAACTGGTAGTGCAGCCAGTCCTCTCCCACCTCATTGGAGGCCTTGCAGGAGTACCTTCCGGCATCCTCCGCATGCACCAGGGGGATCTGCAGCACTCGCCCCCCTGCAGGGACACAGGACAAAGGCCTGAGCTCAGGGCCAAGAGACTCCCCTGAGACCAAGGAAACCCACTCTATCTTTTGGAGGGGACTTGGGACATGTCAAGGAGCTGTGGTGGTGTAGTGGGTAAGACATCTGGCTGTTAACTAGAAGGTCAGTGGCTCAAACCCACCAGCTGCTTTATGGGAGGAAGATGAGGCAATCTACTTCCGTAAAGATTTACAGCCTTGGAAATCCATGGGGGTCATTATGAGTAGGAACCAACTTGACAGCAGTGGGTTTGGTTTTTTTTTTTTTTTTTAAATTGTGATTTGGGTGAAGATTTACAGAGCAAATTCACTTTCCATACAGCAGTTCACATATACTTTGTTTCATGTCATTGACCACAGTTTACCACAATGCAACAGCTGCCCTCCCACTTCCTCCCCATAGTTACCTCTTCCCTGTGTCCATCCCTCCATACTCTCCTGCCCCCTGAGCTGTCTCCCTGTGCATAAGCAGCCCTTCCTTCTCCCATGATTGTTCTCTCCAGGATGTGTGTCTACTTGAGGTAAATGTTTAACTTATATGCCTGTACTTTGTTTGGCTGGAAACCACAGGTGTGGGTTCAATTCCAGACCTGAAGGGCAGCTAGGGGCCATAGTCTCAGTGGTTCCACCAGGCTCTATTGGACCAGCAAACCTAGTCCCCACCTTTTTTTTTTTTTCTTCTGCAAATGATTTTGAGTTTTGTTCCCATTGTTCTCCCTCTCTATCCAGGATCTCCTACATAGATCCCCTTCCACGTGGATGACAGTGGTAACTTGGCACCATCTAGTAGTTGTATAGGTTGCAGATCAGATAGTGTACCAGTCGCTAGGACTAATTTTTTCCATGAATTTTGGTTTTCTTCATTCTTCTTTGCTCTGGATGAGGAGAGACCCATCGCTGCATCTAGATGGCAGCTTGCTAGCTTTTACGATCCCAGTCGCTACTCGCCAAAGTAGGAGGTGGAACAATGTTTTGTATAGTATGCTATGTCAATTGAGCTTGATGTCCCCTGCGATATGGTCCCAAGCCTGCAGGTTCAACTACTCGGTCCCTCTGGGTAGCTGGCTGTGACCAAGCAGTAACCACAACCTTGCCCCTTGTCAGCTCTACTATACACCTGAGAATTCTGATCATTCACATAAACTTATAGGACCATTGTCTGCCAACCCTATATATGTTCTTGGATATACTCCCCATTTCATGTTGTTGTTATTGTTATGTGCCGTTGAGTCGGCCCCGACTCATAGCGACCCCTCCTTGGGTTTCCAAGGCGGTATCACTACGGAAGTAGGATTGCCCAACCTTCCTTCCGAGGAGTGGCTGGTGGGTTTGAACCGCCAGCCATCTGGTTAGCAGGCAAGTGTCTTAGCCACTATGCTACCAGAGCTCCTTCCCCATTTCATAGACATACCTAATCATTTAGCCTGTCCACCCATCTATCCATCCATATACCCGTGTTAGCCTTCACTGACAACGCAGTACTGTATGTGCAAAAGGGTTCATATTTGTTGTCTCTACCTCCCATGTACCTCTCTCTGTCTTTCTCATCCTCACTGCTGCCATATTGGTCAGTCACATTTGGTATACTGCCCTTCTCTTCACCCAAATCAATACTTATCTCTATCTATCTAACAGCATTCCCTCCCCTCCCACCCCTGGTAACCAACAAAGAAAATTTCCTTCAATAGATAAACCTTTCCTTAACTTTTACAATTGCGGACTAATACAATATTTATCCTTTTGTTGGTTTTAGTTTTAAGACATGTCACTGCCTCCCCTCTTCCATCTATGAAAAGCAGACAACAACCTTTGCCCTGCCTGGGTCATGAGTCAAGGTGAGTATCAAACAAAAGCACAATAATGGCTTGGCTGTATGCCAGGCCCTGGCTGAGCACTTTCTGGGCTTATCCCACAGTGACTGTGGGGTGTGTTGTCATTACTCCTATCTTATAGATGGAAAAACTGAGGTTTCCCCAGAGTACCCAGCAAGAGGGTGGCAGAATATATTCAGGTAAGCTGCCATGCTATGCCCAGCTCCTTGATGAGGCCAGGAGGGCTGGGCCAGTGGCCAGGTAATGCTATAGGTAAGAGGCCCTCAGGGAGCAAAGAAGGCAGCAGCTGGGTTTCGAGGAGTTGGGAGTGGAATGGGAAGCATCACCCAGAGACCTCTGTGATTGAGGGCTTATATGAGGGCCAGGAAGCTCGGGGAGCAGTCACTGCCACAGCAAGGCATCTACACTGGGCTGGAGCTGGTCTGTATGGGGGCCAGGTTAAGGGTTCCTGTGGCTCAGGGTTCTGAGTCGGGGATTGCTGGCCTAGACTATGGGTGGGCTCATGACCAGAGTTGGAACCAGGGACCACTAAATGCAGAGTGGGAGACAGTGGCTAAGATTGAGAAGACAGTGGCCATGGGGAGGGGTCAGTTGAAGGTTGGGGTTAATCTACGATTGGGGTTAGAATCAGGATCAGTGTGTGGTCATGATCACTATGTGCCAAGGTTAATCTGTAAACCAAAAAAACCAAATCCACTGCCACTGAGTCAGTTCCGACTTGTAGCAACCCCTGCTGGGTTTCTGAGGCAATAAACCTTTATGGAAGTAGATTGCCCTGTCTTCTTTCCATGGAGTGGTTGGTGGGCTTGAACTGCCAACCTCCTGGTTAGCAGTTAAATGTCTTAGGCACTGTACCACCAGAATATTAATCTATGGTTAGGGTTTAAGGTAGGGGTTGGCATGTGACTGAGCTCACTGTGTATCCAGAATTTGGGGTAAGCATTCAGGTCAGAGGTTAGTGGGCAGGATAAGGGATCGGTCCAGGGGTTTTCAACAGGAGCAATCAGTATGCAGTAAGCATTGCCTCCCTCCACGGGGCCTCTGTCTTTTGCAATAGCCAAAGTCCAAACCCTGTTATAACCCTGTTTATCCACAGCCTGGTGCAAATTCATCTCCTACTACCTGCCCCTCCATTGACTCAGACTTGGCAGGACATGGTGCAAATCCTAACAGGAGACCATCCAGTTGCCGCTCATGGGGCAACTAGTAGGCCTCTGTGCCTCGACTCCCTCCCAGTGGAGGTTGGTCAGCCCAAGGGAGATGGAAGGAATAGTTCAGGATGCTAGGCGCTTTTGAGCCCCACTCCCTGTAACTTTGTTGTTGTCGAGATGACACATAGCCATACACCAGTCCAGCAGTCTCCACACGCTGACTGCATTCTTCAGGTTGTGCAATTATTCTCACTCTCCTTTTCTGAGCTTCCCCCCTCCCATTAACATACACTCGCTGCCCTTTAAGAGTCCATCTGATCTAATCTTGACAGTTGTACTTATCACCTTGATCCCATAGTTCTTAAAAAAGAGCATGGCTCTCAAGTCAGACAAATCACGATTCTAAAATAAAAGATTGATTTTAAAAATCGAGCAACCTTAAATAAACAAATTAAAATTCAAAGTGGTTAAAAGCAAAAGGCTGTAGGAGCCAGGCACTCTGACCACAGCGTGGTCCTCCAAGCCCACTGGAAGCTTTGTTTGGCCACGAACTTTTCTGAGGAGCTTAAAAAAAGAACTGACCTTCTGTCTCTCCAGAGAAAGGTCAACTTGTCCATCATTTCAGAATCAGGACATTATAGATCTCGAAGTCCACATGTGTGAGAACCTTTGTTGTAAAACATAGAGGCTGAAGGGGGCCCAGTACTTGTCTTCAGATAGGCAGAGGACTTCTAGCCCCATTTTACAGAGGACAAGTAAAGTCCAGAGAGGTCACAGGCCCTGCCTGAGGTTGCACAGCAAATAGTGCACAGGAGAAGGACTCAAAGCTTTTATAGAAAAGAGACTGAGGGGACCAGCCCTGATGTAGGTACCACCCTGGCCTGACCTACCTTGCAGCACAGACACCCCATCAGTGGTCGAGAGGAGCTGGTCTTCCCTGTACCAGGTGAGCTCCGGGGGTGGGATAGCATTGGTGTCACAGTACAGGTAGGCAGGGTTGTTCTCCACAATCTCCCGGTACTCTGTCACCCCGCCCTGGAGCTCCTCTTCCCGGGACAGGATCTCAAAGGCTGCACTATCATCATCCACCTTCTGGAACATGGGGGGCACTGTGTGGGGGCCAGGGTAGGGAGACAAAGGCATTAAGGATTCCCTTCCCAGGGAATGAAGTGCATATATTCCACTATTGAGCCATTTCCTTAGGCCAAAGCATTTTTTTAAATTCACTCATTCCTTTAGTTTGTGTTTATTGAGCAACTGCTATGTGCTAGGCACTGGGACAAAGTGCCTGCCCTCTAGAGTTCATGTCTAACAGACTCTGAAAGATTCCTTGTAATGTTGGAAATATTCTCAGGGGAGGAAGCCAGACACTAAGTTGTAGCTAGAATTTGCTTGTCAAGGCACAGAAGCACAATATCATCAGCTTCTGGAACAAGAAGAGGCCTTCCAGGTCACCTGATTTGATTGCCTACATTTTCTAAAAGGCCAAATGAAGGTCCAGAGGGGACAGTGACTTCCCAAGGCAAACACAGCTAGTCCATGACAGAGCCAGGGTAACAACACAAAGTCTCTCCCTTTTTCTCCTGGAGGAGGGGCTGGGGGCTGGATGCACCAGGCAGCACTGAGAAGAGGTCTGAGTGGCCAGAACACTCCAGAAGCATCACACAGCAAAACGTGGATCCAGAGCCCACCCTTCTGCCTGCCCTCTTTCCTATCTTTTCTCACTTCTTTCCTCCCTCTGCTTCTGCCCTCCCTTGCCTCTTTTTTTACTTCCTTTTATTTCTTTACTTTAAAAAAAGAAAGAAAATGTCAAACATATGCAGAAGCAGAGGTAGTAACATCACAAGCCCCAGGTACCCACAACCAGCTTCAACCACTGTTGGCTCACAGCCACTCATCTCACTCTCACCCCAGGCCAATCTAAAGGAAATCCCCGTGCCTCCTAATAAAGTGAGGCCCCTGGCAGAGGGGTTAAGAGCACAGCTCAACCAGAGCTGGTTCAAATCCAGGCTCCACCAGCTAAAGCTGTGATTTAGGGGAAAGTAAGCCATCTCTTTGAGCCTTTTTCTCTCAGCTACAAATAGGCTCAGGGTTGTTGAGATGGTTCCATGGGAAATGCTTATAGGAGGCGTGTGAACAGCACAGACACACAAGTGCTTGCTAAGTGAGCACTGCCATTACTCCTGGGAAGGTTCTCCTCTAGAGACATCTGGGGGCAAAGATGCCTCTGCTTCTGTTCAGTAAAGCAGTGCTGCTGTCCGAACACCGTGAGAGTGCTCCTGAGACACAGTCACGTTTGACTGGGGGTCCTTCTGAGCTGATGGTGTGCTGAGCAAAGAGAATGGCTCCAATGTAAACTTGCAGAGACGGTGAGAGTCAGGACAGGAGCCACTGAGCAAGGCTGCCCGGAGGGGCTGGTCAGGTAAAGTGTGCCAAGACTCCCAGGAGCCAGGGTTGGCTCTGATCACCAAGGGCCCTGGCCCATTCCCGTTGGCTGGCCTGCCACAGCCCCTCTGCTCCCCTGGCCCAGGCCTCTGGCCTACTGGCTAGCACACACCCTGAATGAGCACATTGAAGTTCTGGTCATCCTCGCCAGCCACATTGGTGGCCACACACAGGTATCGCCCTGAATCTGAGACCCGCGTGGGCTGGATCTGGAGCAGTCGTCCTTCGCCCAGGACATGCAGTCGCTCATGTGGGGTCACAGGCTGGAGAGAGCAAGGAAGAGGAGAAGCAGGGGACACAGAGATCAGAGAGGAGGGGATGAAAAGCAGCAAGACGAGTGTTGTTAGTTGCTGTCAAGTCGGCCCCTAACTCAGGGACATCTCATACACAAAGGGATCTATCAGAACCTGGTGATCAACAGGGTTCTCACTGGCTGCTTGTCAGAAGTAGGTCCTCAGGCCTTTCCTCCTAATGTGCCTTAATCTGGGAGCTCTGCTGAAGCCTAGTCAGCCTCAGAGTAACACACAGCCACCACTGACAGAAGGGTATGGCTGTACATGATTTGCAATGAATGGGAATCAATTCTGGGTCTCCTGAGTGGAAGGTAAGAGGCTACCACAGAACCACCAGTGCCCCGGAGTGTGTTTATATTTTAATTAAAAAATTTAAATGCAGCAGGAAGTCATGGGAGAACCCTGATAACAGCTTTGTAAAACCAAACCAGTATGCCTGAAAAATTGGAAAGAAAAAAATTAAATGGGTGAATATAGTAGAATTTAATGTTTATGAGACTTCCGTAGTTGAATTTCTTATTACAAAAATAACGGTTGGATGGGGGGCCCAGGTGAACTTTGATGCCAGGTGCTTTAAGGATCCCTTTTCTGGAAGATTCCAAGCAGAACCAAAGGGACCTGGAGGTCAGAGCCTGAGGCCTCCCAGGGGGTTCCCACTCACCTGTCCATCCTTGTACCAGCTGATGGTGGGTGGGGGCACGGCCCGGCACTCACACTCCAGGGTCAAGGTGCTATTGACCTTGGTCTTCACTTCCTTCACGCCAAACTCCCCCGAGGGGTCATCTTTGGAGATGGAAGGGGGGACTGAAAACCACAAGGGAGTCTGAGGATCAGGCCTAGAGGAGGGGATGCTAACACCCTGCATGTACCCTGGTGCTGGGACTGTCCCAGAAATGAGGGGCTGGCTCCAAAGGGTAGAAGAACAGGAACCCTGGGGCTCCTCACTTAGGAGAGACCATTTGTCTGTGATGGTCATGAGACAGGGCAGATCTGAAGTAGGGGAATTCCTGGTTTGACCTCTGGAGGCCATTCTTGGAAATCCTAAGGTCTCAAGCTGTGGACACTCTGGCTGTATCCCACACTGGAGTGGCAGAAGGAAGCCAGGATTAGCGTGGGTCTAGGAGTCCATGTGGCTCAAGTTCTAACTCTCCATTTCCTGCTCTTAGTGTCCTCAGCTGCAAATGGGAAATGACCAAGCCCACCCCAGCTCATGAACCTAAGAGGAAACGAGTACTGAGCACTCTGGGGGGTCCAGTGTGGCCCAGGTGCTGGTGCTCCAGAAGGTGCCGGACTCACTGAGGACTTCCACGTGGTAGTTCTTCAAGGCCTCCCCAAGCTCATTGGTGACCACACAGGTGTACTGGCCTGCATCTTCCTCCTGGGCATTCAGGATCTGCAGTCCATGGGTACCTGCTTGGGGGGCAGTGGCCAAGGTCAGCCCATAGCTGTAGCCTCATTAGGTATGAGGCTCAGGCTCACCAGTCCCCTTCCTTTGACCTAGTCTGATGACATGTGACCTGCCCCTCACTCCTCCCACCGAGGGCATCACCTGGGAGCAGCTGGATGTTCTTTGAAACCTCAAACGGGACGCCATCCTTCATCCAGGTGATGGTGGGGGAGGGGAAGGCCAGTGTCTCACAGATCAGAGAAATGGGGTTGTTGATGATCACTGTCACCTCCTCGTCCTCACTGTCCTCGGTCACCCCCAGGATGGTGGGAACTACTGTGATAGGGGAGGGGTGGAAAAGGTGCTCATGAACAGGGATCCCCCAACCCTGAGAATCCTCAAGTAACCAGGAAAGCCTCAGACCCTGGCATCTAGCCTCGTTGCTATTACTATCCACATGATACAGAATAGGAGACTGAGGGTCAGAGGAGTCCATGCATGGTGCAGCCAGACTTGAACTCAGGCCTGGGTGATCCAGAGCCCAGGCTCTTCACTCATCTGGGTAATTTTTGCTTCATTTTCCCAAATAGCCTGTCCATATCTAGGTTACCAACAATTTTAACCAGAGTTTTCTCAATTCTGTTTATGTTTCTGGTCTATGTGACTCCCCTGAACTAGTGGCTGCTGTTCTGCTCCCTGCAGTGTAAAGTACCTCTGCTTTCATTGGCCCTAAAATATTCTCTTTCAGTCCTTGAAGGGGATGCTGCCTTTCCCCACCAGCATCTTGAGAAACAAATTCGTTTCTCATTTTTATAGAGTCCTTGCTTCTCCTAACAGGATAGTATGTGGTATACTTGGGAGACTAAAGCCTGGGTATGAATCCACCATTAAAGGGCCTGGCATGAGTCACTTCTTTCTAAGGCTCAGAAGCTTCATTGGTGACATGGAGACAGGCATATCTCCCACCTCCAAAGGTTTTTGTGAGCATTAACCAGTCAGACCTCACCATATGCCTGGCCCATGGTAAATGCTCAACATAGCTGCTGTTGTTGTGTTGAACTTGGAGAAAAAACAGAAAAACAGTAGAGTGCTTTGTGGGCCAACATCTGTATGGATCCTATCACCTTGGCTCTCTTCTTGACAGCACCTAGAGTGGCCAGGAGATGCCCCAGCACTTACCCAGGACACTAAGCTGGATGTGCTTGGTCCTCTCCCCTGCTGTGTTGGCTGCAATGCAGGAGTAGTGACCAGCACTGGACAAGTTGGCCTGGAGGACCTGCAGGAGGCCTCCATCTGGGGAGATGTGGTGAGCGTCTCCACTAGTCAGGGGTCGACCATCTTTGAACCATGTGACCTTGGGCTGTGGGTGACCTGTCCACAAAGGAAAGGAAGTAGGTGAAATAATTCAGCAACCTTGATAAGGTCAGCCCAAGGGTTGAAGGCTGCTCTGGAATAGGGCAGGGGACATGGAGTCTCCATCCAGGTCCATAGGCCTGGGCACCAGGGCAGGACACAGAAGCAGCCACCAGGCCTGGTCTGGGTCCCTTTCCTATGTGTTTGGGTTGTCTTTTTCTCACCAAGGTGTATGTATGGCTCAATACAGACAGGCAAGACACAAAGGCATGTTATTCTTTCCTTCTTTTTATCCATCCAACCATCCATCTATTCTTCAATCCACAAACATTAATGGAGCCTATTCTGCCAGGAGGGAACTCTGGTGACACAGTGGTTAAGGCATTCAGCTGGTTCAAACCCACCAGCTGCTCCACAGGAGAAAGATGAGGCAGTCTGCTTCAGTAAAGATTTATAGCCTTGGAGACTGGGATCTTAAAAGCTTGCAAGCAGATAGATTTCTGGTAAGATGGTGGAATAGGCAGACAAGCTACACAGACCCTCTTCAACAGAGAAAAGAGAAACCAATTGACAGAGATATAGAAGATAATTCTAGAGCCCAGAGCTTTGAAAAGTGGAGGATTAGGTACCAACTAGTGGAAAAACCTGAATGAAAACAATGAGTACGGAGATGGTCAGAGCAGTGGACTGTCTGCTACTCTGACAGGACCAACAACCTGAATGTTTCCAAATGGTGTTGGGACCTGAGAATTATCTAAAGATCAGTCCTAGTCACCAAGGGCTGCAGGGATGACTGCACTGGTGGCCTATGATTGGAAGGAAAACAGCAAGGAGGGAGACAACCTGAGCTGTGGACTTTCTGCTGTCCAGAGAGTGCAGCCATTTTGATTGTTTACAAGCAGCAACCATTTTGGATATTTAAAGTAACTAAGGGCACAGCCATTTTGAATGATTACAAGTGGTGGCCATTTTGGATATTTAAAGCGACCAAGGGCACAGCAATTTTGACTGTTTATACGCGGCAACAATTTTGCATTTTAAAGTGACAGCATTCTCATTCGGATTCCAGGCACCTAAGAAGAGGCTCCATTTGCCAAGGACAGCAGGGACATACAGGAGATTGACAACGGGAAAGGAGACAGGTGGTGAGCGTATAAGTGCTACCAACTAGTGAACAGAGGAGCACAGCACAGTACCCTGCTTATGTAGATAACATACACACAAAACAAAGAAAATGAAAATCATGGGCAAGTCACTCCAACATTAAAAAAAAAAAACCAAAAAAAAACTTCACTGCCATTGAGTCATATCCGACTCATAGCAAGCCCTTTGGGTTTCCGAGGTAATATCACTACGGAAATAGATTGACCAACCTTCCTTCCAGGGAGTGGCTGGTGGGTTTGAACTGTCAGCCTTCTGGTTAGCAGTCAAATGTCTTAAGCACTACACCACCAGAGCTCCCATTCCAACATACAATCACCAATTAAATATAAACACAAAAATATCACAATGCCTTAGAAACAACAGAGTATCACAGTCCACACAAAGAAGCAAGATAAAGCAGGAGAAACAAGGGACCAGGATTCAGACCCAAAACAATCCCTGAGGAAGACGCAGCATTGGAACTCCATGATAAGGACTTCAAAAGAATTATATTTAGGTACCTTCAACAAATTGAGAGACAGATCAAGGGAAACAATGACAAAATTGAGGATAACATAGAGAAAACCCTGGAACAATTTCAAAAGACAATACAAGAACAAAATGACAAAATAAATGAAAAATTAGAAATGATACAAAATCTACAGACAGAAATCCAGAAGATTAATACTAAATTTTCAGAAATAGATAACACATTGAATGGGCAAAAGAGTGGAATTGAATTAATGGAAGACAGAATTTGTGAG